AAGCAAAATAAAAGAGAAAAATATTGAAATAGGACTTATCGGAATAATATCAAAATTGTGAAAAAAGGAATAGAACCGAAAATTGAAAAAACGGAATTACATCGAAATTGTAAAATAAGGAACAATATTGAAACGGGAATTTCTGGATCTATATCGAAACTATGAAAAAAGGAATAAAATCGAAATCACATTTTTGATGTTAATCATTAAAATAAGTTTTTGATCTTATTCTGTTTTTATTGTTTTCGACCTTAATCGGAAAATCACATTTTTGATGTTAAACATTAAAATGAATATTCAATCTTATTTCGTTTTTATTGTTTTCAACAATCAGAAAATCACATTTTCAATGTTAATCATTAAAATGAGTTTTTAATCTTATTCCTTTTTTATTGTTTTAGATTTTGTTCCACATTTGTGAAATTCGATATAAAAAATTTACGATATTAATCAGAAAAACACATTTTGATGTTAATCAGTTAAATAATTTTTTGATCTTATTCTGTTTTTATTGTTTTCTATTTTTCACATTTGTGAATTTTCAATATTAATCTGAAAATCATATTTTCGATCTTTATCATTAAAATGAGTTTCGGTCAGTTATTTTTCGATACTAATTATTTTTTCGATCATTTAATTTTCTATACTACTCCCCTTTCCCAAACTATGACAGAGAAATACAAAATACTCACTAAAGAAGGATTTGGATAAAGCATGTAACATAAATTTGGATAAAGCATGAAACGTCGGATGAAACGGTGACAAAGCCAACTACTGAAGAAGTTCATAAAGCAATTGATAATGGAAAATGAAATTGATAGAGTAGGTTTGAATGCTTCAAAGCTGTTTAAAAAAGAATGGTGTGAGTCACTGAAACAAACATCAATTTTAACCTTTTTTCGTTTATAGTATATATTATATATACAAAAATATATATTTCACATAATATTAGATATTTAAGTCTTAAAATCTCAATAAGTTGGACATTTTAAAAAAATCAGACTTATCGAGAGCTTTGCTTAATTCGTACATTTGCTAAGTCGGACAATAAATATATACCCCTTCGGAGTCTGAGTTAACCGGATTCTACTGTGTGTGTGTGTGCGCGCGTGCGCGTGTGTGTGTATATATATATATATATATAAAATTTGAAATGTGTTAATAACCAATAAATTTAAAGTAGTGGTCAAACAAATGAACAATGCATATAAAATATTTATTTCTTTTATTGTTACTATTAATTAAAATAGCTGTATATAGATACTATAATATTTTACTTAATAGTAACAATAAAAGAAAGAAATATTTTATATGCATTGTTTATTTGTTTGACCACTACATTAAATTTATATATATATATATATATATATATATATATATATATATATATATATATATATATATATATATATATATATATATATATATATATATATATATATATATATATATATATTAAAGAATTAACAAATTTTACATGTTAAATACAATTTTCAAAAGTTCATTATATTATAATGAACATAAACTTCTTTATAAAACTTTATAAGACTTTTTTGAAAATTATTTTAACTTATAAATGAGATTTTCTGTAACCTAAAAGTACCTTTGCATCTTGTTCAGATTTTTTGACACTGTTTTTCCTACATAAAAGATATTTTAATCGAAGAAAATCAACAACTTGTCCATCTGCATCTAGCATTGCAAAGAAAGAAACAGCATTCCTATCAGGTAAAAATGAACATGATAAAACACGAGATCCATATGATGACTCGTTATCTGTGGAGTATTCTCCTTCTTGGTTACTATCAGGCTGGTATGGTGCAACAGATATCCAATTGTGCAATTTTCTAGTACAAGCCTTAAAATATAAAAATAAAAATATAAGTTAAAAATCATTAACAAAAACATATTAAACAAATGTGATTTCTGCACATTAGATTGCTATCACATATGAATTTTCATAAATTGAAAATTAAACCCTGCCCTATTAAAATAGGTCTTTTATTACCTACTACCTTTCCTATTAAATAGCTTTATACTTAAAATGTTAAAAAAAATTATTAACTTTTTAAAGCATTAAGGATGTTTTTATTTACCCAACTTAAAAGATGTTCCCGTCGAAATCAATCGTTGTTAAATCAAAATACACAAATCAAAATCTGCCTTCAAATTGATTTGATAATTGATTTTTGAAAAAAATGAATTTTAAAAATATTATATCTTACACTAATCAAAAATTATCAACAAAATTAAAATTTCATCATTAATAATTTTTATATCAAAAGTTCATGTTTTTAACTCCAACCCCATGATAAAGATCTGAGATTATGTCAAACATTAAATCTAATGTTAAAAATTAAAACAAAGATTAACATTTTTTATTTTTCAATTTTTCTTATATAATAGAAGTTACTAATTCCAAACATAAACAAGAATGTTAAAAATTTTTTTTTTGGTTGACAATTTATTACTCGTTAAACAAAGTTTTTAACAAAAGTACTTTTTTTTGGCCAATAACAATTACAAATACAAAAACAAAATCTATCCTTAGGAATCCTAAAAAATTTAAAAATAAAATAAAATTGATTTTATCTATTAAATACTGGGCAGAATTGTAATCCCTACTTGCACACCTGTATAGCAAAGTCTATTGATTCACGAAGTAACTTGGCCTTTAGTTCTTTTTCTAACATAGGATACAACATTTTACTAAGAGCTAAAGATAAGGCTTCAGAGCGCTGTTTATTCCACTCTTGCACCAGTAGACTAAATTCATCCTAAATAAAATAAAAATAAGTATAAATCAATGTATCATATACACACTACTACTACTACTACTACTACTACTACTACTACTACTACTACTACTACTACTACTACTACATCTGCCATATATATCTACAACAGTTATCTTTAACAGTGAATTTTTTGGTTAACATAATATATTAATTTATAAGATGCCACTAACAAAGAAAAACTTTTCTGGCAAGAAAAGTAAATTCTTAACAAAAACTTCGCTAGTAAACAAAAATTTAAATCGGAAGTTAAAACAAGTTTTATTGTTGGACATCCAAATAAAAATGGGTCACTAAACAAACTGTCGTGTCTATTAGTTACATTACTGCATAACATCTAAAATTGCAGTTCGGTGAAAATGAACTTGATTTAATAATTACAGAGTAGTTACTGGCAGAAACAAAGATAAAAACTGATTAAACTATATAGCCTTATCAAAAGGCTATAGATACTTTCAATATTTTATAATAATTATATAACAATAATTCTATTTTAAAGGACCAATGTCAAAAATATGGTCCGGAAAAAAAGGACCGGAAGAAGAATTAAGTATAAAAACAACCCTGCGGAAATTAAATGATAATTTATCAAAAATATAAAATAATTTATCAAAATATAAATAATTTATCAAAAATATAAAAAATGTTTTCTAAATTAGAAAATTTTAAAAATATGATTGAAAAATTAGGAAAGATAAGTTGAAAAACCAAAATGATTAAAAATAAGATATATCATTCAATAGAGACCAGGTAGGGAAAAAAGAAAGGTTATGTGGTTTGGATAGAAGATTTATTCATTACTTATCAAAAAAAAAAAAAAGGAAATCTAACTTTAATTACAATAAATTAGATCATCTGAAAACGATACAGAAACTTCAATAGGAATAGAACTTCAACTTCTTCTCTTAATGAACTTCAATAGGTTCTTCTGATACCAATAAAAGAAACTAATAGTGAATTTAAAATTAGGACACATTAATCTTACAAATTCTGTCTAACTACCTTGCACCTTACTGCTTTTACAGCAGTTGGAGAGAGTTTAAATTCTCTAAAATCTCCAATATATACAACATACAGGAATTCCAAGCAGTGTTATGGTCAAATCTAGCTTTAGCATGTCTGAGTTTGTATGCTCAAACTCAATTTTATACAGAGTAGCAGAGAATACTTTGTTTGTAGATTCAAATGAAATTAGGGACCATATAAATAGGATTGCTAAGTCTTTAAACTTCTTCTCTTAATTCATTTGATGAGAAAATTTCAAAGAACCCAAAGAAAAACAGTTTTCAGTTAAGCTGTTCAAGCAGAATTAAAGAACGAACCAAAATAAAAAAAAAAATTGAAATAAGGTAAAAAGAAAAATTAAAAAAAAAAAAGAATAAAAAAAAGTTGAAAAATGCGCATCACTACTTTAATCAACTTTAAAAGTGTATACAAATAGACAAACTTTAAAGATAAGCATTTCTCAGTGATACTTGTAGTCTGAAAAATACATACATTATTTTCAAATTGGGTTCGCCTAACCTAATGGACAAATAATTAAAAAATTAACGAACAAGTTGTTTTAAACAATATACTTTCAAGATTGCTAAATGGCTTCCATTCATGATAGCTTAATTTGTGATCTTATATGTGTGTGTGTGTGTGTGTGTGTGTGTGTGTGTGTGTGTGTGTGTGTGTGTGTGTGTGTGTGTGTATATATATATGTATATATATATATATATATACATATATATATAATATATTCATTAAAAATATCATATAATTCATTTTTATGATGTAACTTATTTCCATAATATATTAGATATATATCTGATTTTAATATAAGAAAAACTTGATAATAATTTAATTTACCCGATGATATAATTGCTTTATTTCATCAAGGTATGAAAATCTAAAACATTGAAAGAAGTAAATTTAAAATAAACATTTAAAGAAATAAATAAAATATTTTTTAAATTAATAGTTTAATTCTGATATTTTAGACAAATAGACAAATATAAAAATTTGTCACAGCATATTTTATATTTAATGCAATTGTCATGAAACACTACCAAACCTAATAAAAAATATTTGTGTTGATTGTCATGAAACACTACCAAACCTAATAAAAAATATTTGTGTTGATTGTCATGAAACACTACCAAACCTAATAAAAAATATTTGTGTTGATTGTCATGAAACACTACCAAACCTAAAAAAAAATATTTGTGTTGATTGTCATGAAACACTACCAAACCTAATAAAAAATATTTGTGTTGATTGTCATGAAACACTACCAAACCTAATAAAAAATATTTGTGTTGATTGTCATGAAACACTACCAAACCTAATAAAAAATATTTGTGTTGATTGTCATGAAACACTACCAAACCTAATAAAAAATATTTGTGTTGATTGTCATGAAACACTACCAAACCTAATAAAAAATATTTGTGTTGATTGTCATGAAACACTACCAAACCTAATAAAAAATATTTGTGTTGATTGAGAGGATGACCTTTAAAATTAAATATAAACTATTTTTGATAATCATATACATAAATTCATAAAAAACAACCAAAAGTTTTTTATAATTACACAAACTTTAAAATGTAATATTTTGAAATTTTAATCATTAACATATCTTTCTATCTTCTCCATTATTATTATTAACACATCTTTCTATTTTCTCCATGATCATTATTAACGTATCTTTTTATCTTCTCCATTATTATTATTATGTATATTAATTACCAGAGGTAGAAAGTAACAAATTACATTTACTCACATTACTGTAATTGAGTAGTTTTTTTGTGAACTTCTACTTTTTTAAATGTTTACTTTTACTTTTAATTATTTTTTTATGTATTGCACTTTGCTACATTTTAAATCATATACATTACTGAGGAAAAATATTTATTGCATATTACTAAGGAAAAAAATTTATTGCATATTTACTATGGAAAAAAATTTATTGTATATTACTAAGGAAAAAAATCTATTGCATATTACTAAGGAAAAAAATCTATTGCATATTACTAAGGAAAAAAATCTATTGCATATTACTAAGGAAAAAAATCTATTGCATATTACTAAGGAAAAAAATCTATTGCATATTACTAAGGAAAAAAATCTATTGCATATTAGTATTTAATTTCATAAAAAGTATGATTTAATTTTTTAAGTTGATAAAAATTGTTTTATGAAATTGTTTTATGAAATTGTTTCCTTACAACTTTTATTATTGTTTTTAGCGAGGTTACAAAGACATTAAAAACGTGTCTTGCTTATGTTTCAAATTTTATCTTTCTTCTAGAATTTTGAAAGAAAATTAAAAAAAAAATTTAAATGAAGGTTAACTATGTTTACATTTTATACAAAGTACTACAAAAAAAAACATTTAAAATATATTTTTATTTTCAATTAAATATAGATCCTAGTTACAATTATTGGCTTTATTTTGAAGATGTTCCTAATAGATGCTCCATATATTTAAAGGGATCCCAAACTCCCGACACATGTTGTGTTCATATTAAAGATAATATTAAAAAAAAAGGTTTGAACCAAGTTTTTTTGATTAAAAATAAATAATGAATGCATAACGAGAAAAACTAACGTTGTTGTTTTAGCCGAAGCTCGCCTTCTCCATTTTTTTCAATAACTCTGAGTCTTTAAATTATACGTCGCAATCTACAAACTTTGGCGATTCCTTTGAAGCGCGTTTAATTCATAAAAATTTTAGTATTTGACGTCACGGTAGACTTTTAACAAATAAAACTCTGGAAATATTTTTATTTTTATTCGAACTTTTTTTGATTATTTGTTAATTTTTTTTTTTTCTATTCTTAACATTTAAAAAGATATTAAAAACCTCAAATATTTTATGCTGGTTCGTTGCTATAAATTGTTATTGCGCCATATATTTAATATTTATAAATTATGAATATTTATTATCTCAATCAAGACTGATAAAAAATTGTTTTACATTAATTACCCTTATAAAATTAGTAAAAGCATTTTTATTTGGTTAGATCATATTTTGTCTCAATTTGCTTTGCATGAAGATCGGGAAGTCAAGCGAAAAAAATTAGTTTGAATAATCACTTTGAAATATATTCAAAACAAATTATTTTAATGACAGGGGTTTAAAAGTTTTTTATAATAAATGTAAGCAAAAAATAAATAATTAAATTAAAAGTTCAACATTAAACATCATTTCTTTATTATATTGCAACGGTAAATATTGAAATATTAACTTGAAGTAAATTTACTTATTACTTAGAACGACTAAGCAATAAAAATAAAAAGCCCCTAAAATTATGCGATATTGTGTTGTTTATTTGATAATTGCTGTTGGTAATGTTGTTTATGTTGATTATTTTCATAAATATCAAAATAGTCCCAGATTAATCTGTTAGTTGCTTTGCTCATCGTTGCTTTATTTCTAATTTAATTTCTGGTATAAATTTATATTAAGAAAGATAAGTTTTTATTTCATCGCTCGCTCTTTTTATAAAAGAGTAGAACAAAAGAGAAAGAAAAGTTTTGTGTAATTAAACTTCGAATGAATAAGAGTTGTATAGAATATATATATATATTTTTTTGCGTCACTTGTTCTTTTTTTAGATTAGAGAAATAAAAGTTTAATTAGTAACTTTTCTTTAAATAAATGAAAATTGGAAGAGAAAATTGCTTGAAAATTTGTATTTGTTGTGTTTTAAATTTTTTTAATTTTTCATGTTAAGAGACAAATGCCAAATACGATACAAATTGGGAAATACCAAATATAATATGTTTTTTAACGCGCTTTATGACACTTTGACAATTTAAATTACCATTTTTCTTGAATTATTGCCATTAATTAATGTGTTAATTATTGCGTTATATAATAATAATTTCTCCGTATTTTTGTTAAATATTAGTTGTATAAAATGGGCGAAAATATACAAACTTCATGTTTTTTATTTGATGGTTATAAAATATTGAATAGTAAACTTATAATCAAAATTTATAACGCTGACTTGTGTTGCTATTAATTGTACTTTTAATGCAAAACTAGGATCTCACATATCTTTTCACGAATTTTCATATCTGATACTACTGTCAACTCTATTGTTTAGTGTATTCTTGTACTTTTTTTTCATAACCTTAACAGGTTCTAATTGGTATGGAGTTGCCGACATTTTAAAAGTTTTATTATCAAAAATCAAATGTAAAATAAAATGATATTTCCTTTTTATCTGTATCCAACTTAGCAAATTTAGCAATTTAAAATAAATCAGCGTAATTAAAAAAATTCTATAATAAAAAAAGTTAACAATTCATCAAATATCTCTAATTAATACTGTCAGTTTATGAAATTAATTGTTAATACTTTTTTTCGACAAGAAAACAAAAAATATCATAGCGTAAAAATAACCAGAAGTTAGAAAAAAGTTCCCATTGTTTAAATAAAAATAAGTAAGATTCAGAATATATAATACTGCGCTCTCTTGCACAAAAACGAGAGACGGTATACATAACGTTCTAAATAATTTAAAACACTCGTATGAAAATCATAAGATTCGTAAGTAAAGCTTTAATATTTGTTTTAATTTAAAAACAAAAAAATTAGATATATAAATCTGATATATAAATCTGAAAATTATTAAGACATCGTTCCTCTTATGAAATAAAAAGCTTTTATTATTTTTGATTTTTACAAAAATTTGCTGTAAAAGTTGTTTTGCTGTATGTTTTAAAAAAAAATTTTTTTTTTGAATTAAAAAAGAAAAACGCAACTTTGTTTAATTACACTTTCCTTTTGTTAAAAATCTACCGTGACATCAAATGCTAAAACTTTTATGAATTAAACGCGCTTCAAAGGAATCGCCAAAGTCTGTAGATTGCAACGTATAATTTAAAGACTCAGAGTTATTGAAAAAAATGGAGAAGGCGAGCTTATGGTATGCATAAACTTCTTATTTATTATTACCGCTTATTTATTTTTGATTAAAAATAAATAAGCGGTATGCATTCATTATTTATTTTTAATCAAAAAAACTTGGTTCAAACCTTTTTTTTTTTTAATTATCTTTAATATGAACACAACATGTGTTGGGAGTTTGCGATTCTTTTAAGAAAAAACTTATTTATTCAAAACATTTTTTTACATATATGCATACTGTTCATATTTTCGCAAAATATAATGATAAATTAGCCAATTCAATATGTTTCTGCAAATTTTGCAAGAACAAAGAGAAAAACATGATTTAACTGATAAAATGAGTATTAAATAATGACTTATTTTAATATCGCATTATTTGTATTTATAAACACACACACATAAAAATATTATTTAAATATAATAATTGTAAAGATATATAGAAAAAAATAGATAACCTTGTTTATGTTTTGTTATTTGACAAGTTACCTGAAAATAGCTGTTAAAAAGTAATGCAGCAACTTTTATCTGAGTATATCTTTAATGATATACTTTTTAATTTTACTTAAGGTACAAAATTTTGTTACTTTTTCCATCTGTTAATTAGTAAATTTGAATTTATGATTTTGTGTAATAAAAATGTGTAATAAAAACTTACATATAATTTTGTAAAGAAGGAGAAAATAATATTTTGAAATCAGCAATAAACAAATACTTACAAAAATACTACAACTAAAAAATATTGAGGTACTCTTTACCCTTGATTGTGTTGCTCTTGACCAATCATAATTCTCATTTTGACAAGATTTTCCTGCTCAGCATGCCACATTTTTAAAAACTGCTCTCCATGAAGATCTCGTAAAGGTTTGCTTTTTAAGTACTTAAATGGAGCATTTGGGTGATTATTATCTATTTCCTTTACAGAAAAAAAAACAATATAAATATGGCTAACTTGACTATATACATACATACATACATACATACATACATACATACATACATACATACATACATACATACATATATAAACATACATATATATATATATATGTATATATATATACATACATATACATATATGTATATATATATATGTATATATGTATATATATATATATATATATATATATATATATATATATATATATATATATATATATATATATATATATATGGGTGTAAACTAGTCCTGTGGGGTCCTGTCAAACGCAGTATTCCCAAATGCTCATAAAATTAAAACTCCCAATTTAAAAGTGAAAAAATCCTAATCTCCAAATAATGTTTGTCTAATTAAAGTTTAATAATAATTCTAAAAATTGTTGAAAAATAATTACTGTTAAAAGCTAATAGAAGAATAACATAAAAAATTATAATTTATTGTTTAAAACTTGAAATAAAATTGCTGTTATTGGAATAACTACGTGTTTGCATAACTGCAAAAATATCTCTTGAAAAAAAGCTTTTTGAGAAATGAGATTTTCCGAAAATTCCTAAAATTGCTTGGAAAAAAAAATTCATTTCTCGAAATTTGCAAATAATTTTTTGCAATGCGTTCCATCGACAGCAAATATTATTAAAAAAAAAAAAGTTAGCAAGAAACAAAGTTTAATTTAAAAAATTACAAATTTGTTTGGTTTAACACCAAACAAATTTGTAATTTTTTAAATTGAACTTTGTTTCTTGCTAACTTTTTTTTTTTTAATAACACAAATACTATTTCTTTTTGCCCTTTTTGGCTGAAAAGTTATATAAATTAAATAAATGTTTTTTGATTATAACAAACTGGTTCTAGAAATTTATTTAATGAGGAAAATAGATTTCTTTACTTTACTGGCTGCTTATATTTAAAACATAAATTAAATACATATATTAAAACGTAAATTAAATACTTTTAATAACGAGTTGTTTTTTTTTTATTACAACAAACTGGTACTAGAAATTTAAAAAACAAGAAAGCTAGATTCACTGCTTACTTGAACTTAAAACATAAAAGTAAAATAAAATGTTTCAATGAACCATAGTCATAACAACATTTTCTGACTATGCATGAAAAAATAATTATTGGTATTCTTCGTAGCCATAATAGTGTGCAATCGCTTCGGATTTTTTGTAATTCTTTTGTAATTAAACAACATTTATTGTTTTTGCTGAGACTTTGTAATTGTAACTTTATTTTGCTATGCGACTGTATAGATGACTTTCAAATGTTTACATTCACGTTTTCAAAAAAAGATGCGCACGTAAATTTGCAGGTAGAAAAGCAAATAATCGGAAATTTTCCAGTAAAAACATTGAGATATTTGTATGTTATACTTGATCACTGATTCTTATTTACCCACTGATTCATTGATTTACCCACTAATTCACTTATTTACCCACTGATTCACTGATTTATCAAAAAATAAACTATTATAACTAGTTGTTGTGCAGTTGGTTACTCAAACAAATTTATGTGGATTGAAGTTTTATAAATGAATGTGGATTGGTTTTATCAATTTCCATTAGGAAAGTCACCTTTTGAGAAAAGAAGACAATTAGACTGGATTAAAGCTATTAATCATAAGTATTGGGACAGTTGGGAAAATGAAAAAATTAGTAAAGAACGAGTATGCAGTGCACATTTTGTATCAGGTATGTTCTTTGATGAATGTTGTTAGCTAATAAAACTATATACGTAGAAATACATTTAATAAGATTCTTTAAATTAGTAATTTATAATATTTGGTACATTTATTAATTTAATTAAATAACCTCAATTGTAAAAAGAACTTATTATATTTTAGAAAAATGTTCTGATGACCCATCAAACTTTGACTGGAGTCCATCTGAATTTAATCACCTTAGAGCTGCTCGATTTCTTGTTTGATTAAAAAAGGAAGAGAAAAGATTGCTATAAAGCTTTATGTAAAAAACGATCTTTCAAAAAATCAATACCGCCATCTAGCCCAAATAATAATTCAGTGCTTCATAACTATAACGATAATATAAATATTGACATAAATCCACCAAATGGATTTATTAGATGATATTATAATTATTATATATGCTCTTGTAAATCTCAATACAAGTGTAGGTACTTGATTAATGTAGATGTAAAAACAAATTTACAGAGAAACAGTTTTTACAGTTTTAAAATCTGAATGCGTTTTAAAGGAGAGAAATATTTGTTATTATTTATTGCTTGGTTTTACATTCTTTGCAAAGCCAATTGGTACATTTTGGAGCTCTTTTTAGTCCAACACAAGTGTAATGAAACCATTCATATTTGCAGCTAGCAAAATTGCATGGTATCATTTTCCTAAAACTTGGTCTTTGGCATATACAGTAAACTTTCCTACTATTTACTGTCGATCTATCAATCATTTTGAGAATAAGATCTTTTTAATTGTTAAAATGAACCTTTAACTGCAGGGGAGAAAGCAAGAAAACCAGCCTCAGTTTATTAATTGTTAACTATTTTGAAAAATTAAGTGTTATTGTTGAATTCCAAAAACAAAATGTATTTAAAAAGAATAGAAAAGTTGCAAGAACAATTTTTAAATTTAAAATGAGTTTAAAATTTGTACAAGAACATCTGTTTTAAAAATTTTTTAAACAAAAGTTTTTCATAACAATAAAAGTTTTATTACCAATATTTATTTGAAAAATTTGTGATTAATTTTAATTATTATTCTTTTAATAGTTTTTTAAAGGAAATATTGATTTTAGGGTACAAAAATTGATTCTAGGGTATAAAAGAAATACAAGAAGCATATTAAAGTTCTTGCGTTTTTAATTTTTCTACCTACAAGTATGAGCGTGCATATTGTTTACAAAAAGATGTGACGTCGCAGGGAAACTCATCTATAAAGAAAGTTAGTATTAATTAAGTGACCAGACATACTCTTTTTCTGTAGGAGAGTTTGCTAAACTACAGGACAGTCAATCATACTAGAATTTAATCATGGAGTAGAAGAAACAAAAAATATAAGAAAAGGACCCCACACATTCCTGGTACATTTTAATCTCAGGGGAGGGAAGGGGAGTTTGGTGATATATTTGGGAAATTTTTTGACAAATTCCCAATTTAGTCAAAACACTGTATCAAATTTATTCCTAGTTAACATCCTGTATGTATGTATGTATGTATGTATGTATGTATGTATGTATGTATGTATGTATGTATGTATGTATGTATGTATGTATGTATGTATGTATGTGTATATATATATATATATATATATATATATATATATATATATATATATATATATATATATATATATATATATATATATATATATATATATATATATATATATATTATAAATAAATAAACATATACATATACAGTCTTTTTTTATGTTAAAATAAACATCTTTTTATAGGTGCTAATCATCTATTTTCTTTTATTAGCCTATTATTATCTTTTATTATTATCTTGTTTTAATTAAAAATAAAAGTTTTCTTGTTTTTTTTTTTTAAAACAAGACAAATTGTTGTCCTATATCTTGTTATATATTGTTATATAAATTGTTGTCCTATATCTTGTTATATATTCTTGTCCTATATCAAGTAATATGAATTTAAGAAGAGTAAGATTTATTACTTGAATCTTTAATTTTTAAATTTTTGCTCATTTTGTTAAATAATATCAAACGTATTTTTTTTTTTTTAATTTTAAGGGAAAAATTAAAAAATCGTTCAAATCTTAAGAACAATTTGACGAAAACAAAAACAAAACAAAAAGAATTTCTGTTACTTATATCTATCTTCTCGAGATAATTAGCACCCATAAGCAATCGATGATTGATATGAATTAAAATAAAGCTGATTCAATTAAGTTTGAGTAGTTATATCTATCTTCTCGAGATGATTAGCACCTATAAGCAATTGATGACAATTAATATGAATTAAAGATGATTCAATTAAGTTTTAAGCAGTTATAGCACAGTGAGCGCATGTCTGAAAATCATAAGATCCATGTCTGTTCTGGTTATATAGACAACATTGATTAAAAAAAAACTTTCAGGGTGCTTTGTTACAAGACCTTTTAGCATTATATAATTTAATCTATTATTATCTTTAACAATTTTGTCTAAAAAATTAACATTAATAAATATTTTTAAACTTTTATTAATACTTAGTTATTTAATTAAATTCATATGCATTTGTCAACTCCTTTTTCTTCATTTCATTTTTATTATTTTTAATTTTTGAAAGACACTTAACAACGCATGTTTTACACATCTTAAAAGCAAGCATTATATAAAAAAATAAGTTGATATAAAAACTGAATTTTTTACTTTTTTTCCTTTCTTAGTAGGTGTTATATAAATCTTTGCATTTTCAATAAACATTTGTCTGACATTTTGTTTCACAAGTGTGTCACGAGAAATTTGCATAGCCACCATATGACGAGCTCCTGTTAGAACTGCTTCAGCAGACGGAAATGTACTAAAATAATTTATAAATTAAAATTATTATTTAATAGAATTAATTAATGCTAAAATATAAACATCATATAAAATATATAAAAAACTTCTTACTTGCATATTAGTGATTCTGCAGCCTCAAGTGGTGTCTGTGAAAATTGTATAGGCTCATGTCTCTGGTAATTATCCCTTAAATTTTCACCAAACTGTGCAGCAGTCAGACCAAAATTTGATGCCATTTTTAACAATCCTTTGTTAAAATGTTATAATAAAAAAAGAATGAAAAAAAAGTATATATATGAGGAGCCCATCTGCAAAATGCACTTTTTCAGAGGGGCTATATGTATGTATGTATATATATAAATATATATATATATATATATATATATATATATATTATATATATATATATATATATATATATATATATATATATATACATATATATATATATATATATATATATATATATATATATATATATATATATATATATATATATATATATATATATATATATATATATATATATATATATATATATATTAGCAGTCCGAACTTGTAATACGAGTCATGCTCCACACATAGGACTTATATACTTATTTGTTATTATTGGGCAGGTAAAAAGAGTATTTTTAATTATAGATATAGATATAGCATATAACATCTATAGAATTATAGAACCATTTTGCATTGCATTTCAAAAAAGTGGAAATATCTAAAAATAAATAAGCAAGTGAAAGACTTATAACAAGTCCATAAAAGACAGAAGACAAGACCCCTGCATTACACCAACCTTAGCAGCAGTTATATAGCGAGCTAACCAATTGGTTAACTTGCTATGTCAACCAAATAGGCTTTAAACTACCAATTCATTAAGCAAAAGACGGTATATAAATTTATCTAAGAATTATCTATTTTTATAACTTTATAAATCAGATAAATAATTTAAACCAAACTCAAGTAACAATTTTTTTTTTCACATTTTCTTATATAAAAAAATTTTCTTGTTGTTAACTCAGCTTTAATGGCTGCTTTAAGTTTCAATCCAAAAAGAAACAAATAAGCATTATTAGGTTCCTTATTATATAATAATATACAAATATATTTGTGTAATTAGCATTGCATAAAATGTCATTTATGAAATGATACTGAAATATAAACATACATGAAATCATACTGAAATATATACATACATGAAATCATACTGAAAAAGGGAGCTGTGAGTGCCTCAATACATGCATCAGCTGAGGAAATTTTGGTTACAGAAGAAAAAAAACTTTTTTTTTCTCACATTTTTGTTTTTCTTTTTTTCTGAACTTTTTAGGTGTACAAAATATATTAGGATAGTGCAGATTTAAATTTTATATCATTAATTACATGTAATGCTTGTAAAACGTAGTCTTTTTTTCAATTATAGCAAACATTGTACTAAAAATTAAGCAAACCATTGTACTATTTGATCAGTTTGATATTTATAAATTACACAAAAGTCTAGGACCATGTCATAAGTAAAAAAAGTTTGCTTGGTATTAAAACTAACTTAAACTGTTTATACATATGTTACATTATTAAAACTTACTTAAACTGTTTATACATGTTACATTATTAAAAACTATAACTCAACTAATATTAAAAAAACCCGAATAAAAATTTTTACTTTTGAAAAAATAAAAGATTTATAAATCATGATGACTAATGGGTAAATACTGAATTTAATGTAAATAAACCTTAAAAGCATAATAGAATAAAAATTTTACAACTATGTGCAACATCTAAATCATTTAAAGATCTTTTAATATCTTCATAGATCATCCAGGTCATATTTTATAAATCCGTAAAATTGTTTGGGTAAAATATCTGGAATATATTTTCCCTCATACTTCTCTTAATTTTTCTTTTAGGTGAGTTGTTTTAAATTTTTTTTTTTTACTTTTCTTTATTTTATTAAGAGTATTTAGTGAAAAAGCTTAAAAAACAAGTATATTACAAAAATATATACTTAAACTTGTATATATGGAAAACATTTTCGATATCCAGAAAAACTAAAAATTGAGAAAAATTTCCGGTATTCCGGAAATATCCAGAAAAAGATAATCCCTGTATCTAAGAGATAATTTTGGAAGATGACTGAAAAATTAGAGTTTACAACTGGGACCTGTTTCATTATCTTATTCTTTATATTTTTATATTTCTTCATATTTTACATTACTAAGCAATTAAAAGATGCTTAAACTTTGAAATATATGATGAAAAATAAAACTGATAGGTCTTGCAATATTCCTAAAATCTAATCATTAGAAGAAACCTTATATTCAATGTATGTAGAATGATTAGTAATGACTATCAAACTATTTGAAAATGAAGACTAAAAATAATTTTATTCTACATTCTGGAATTGCTACCTTAAACTACAAACCAATCATCAAGGTATAATGAACCTGCAAAAAGGATTTAAAACTTCATAGATAAATTACAACTTTAAAAAATTGAACACGACTTTTAAGATTTTGAAAATGTGCTAAATAAAAAAGATTTTTAGTAATAAATAAATAACTGTCATCATTACTAACAGTCTAGGATCATTAGTCATAAGTAAAAAATTTGCTTGGTATTAAACTGTTTATACATTTATGTTGCATTATTAAAAACTATAACTATTATTTTGTAATATAATAATAACTAGCAAAATACTAATAACTATTCTTGTTTTAAGTATTTTATAAAAGTTGTATATAATTTTTTTTAATTTAAACTAAATATAGTATAAACAAAAAAAAATTATATACTAAAAACAGTATGCATTTTTTATATTTTTTTTCGCTTAACTCAAAAAGATTTTGTTGAAAAAAAAATTATGAATGTTATAAAAGTTGTAATAATCTAACAAATTTGATCTTTACTAATGTTTTTAATTTGATCTTTACTAATGTTTTTTATTTGATCCTTACTAATGTTTTTTATAAATTGCTTTTATTTAAAGTAAAAAATCTAGTAGAATTTTTTCTTTGCAAGGCTACGCATTTCTGACTAAAGAAAAAGCAATTATTTCTTTCCACCGAAATGGAAATGATTTAATTATTTTTTCTTTTATAAAAGAAAAAAACTAAGAAAAGTTTTTAAGAATCTTATTTAGATTACTTTATTTATTATGTTTACAAATAACAAAATACAAAAAATACAAAAAAATACAAAGCATGAAATGGTTTAAAAATAATAATTTTTAATTATTTTACTAATAATCTACTTGCGTGTATTTATTCCATTTATTTGGAAACTTACTATTTTTAAATCAGAAAAAAAAAAAAAACATTCAAATTAAGTGTATGAAACAATTGTTAGAACTTGTTACTTAAATTTTAAAGGGTTTTCTATGTTATTATAAAAAAATTATTAAAAATAAAAGATTTGAAGTTTATTATTCCAAACAAAAATTAAAAACTTGATTTAAATTATCTTAGCATTTTAGTTTTTTAAGTTTTATTTTAGTTAAGTTATATATATTTTTTATTTATTTTACTTTTTTTTATTTTCTTTTTTGTTAAGATTTTTTTTTTTTTTAAAGTTCTTTTTTAAGATTTTTTTTTTAGTCAAGTCTATATATATGCGGTAGTGGTGTAGTGGTAAGAGCGCTTGCTTTGTAAGCGAGAGGTTTGGAGTTCGACTCCCACCATGTCCCTGGAAGTACCGCGCTCAACTTAATTTCTCCGCGCAGCGGCCTTGCTTGTCAAGGTTCGTGTTTCGGAGTTAAAGAGTTGAGAGAGGGTTGTACCACGATTTACAACAAAAAAAAAAAAAAAAGAGTAGCCTCCTCGATTGTAGTGGCCCCCTTGGGCCTTGGGGAGGTGAATAATTAAAAAAAATATATATATATATTTTTTTTCAGCACATTTTTTTAATGTTCGACTTTTCAAATTATGTTAATAACTGTGTTCAAATCATCAAAACAAATTGCCTGTGATTGTACGCCTTCCTGATCATGACCTTTAGTCTCAGAATTTTTGAAACTCCTCAACACCAAAAATGAGGAATAATTAGTGATTTTATGACTTTCAAAACCATTTTATTCTGTCCTTTTAAGATTTTACATCATGATGCTAAAAGCATAAGTGAATAATTTAAGGCCTCAGACTCCTTAATCACTTCTGTGAGACAAAGTTGTGAATAAAAAATGGTAGCTCCTCTAGAAGAATGTTTTTAACTTCTTTTTTAACTTTTAAATATATAGAATATTTATTATATGAAGTTTTAATTGAAATTTAATTAAATATGTAAAAAATTCAGAAATATTTTTTTGAAGTTTTTTTAAAAAATTTTTAAAACTCATCAAAATTTGTATTAGACAAATATAACATTTAATGTAGTCATAAGTTCTTTATATTATATTATTTTTTTGGTTTACCATTTACAAACACTTGGCACTGTTTAAGTAAATGGTGAATCTTAAAGTTGAGGTAGCATTTTAACTCAGTATATACCACATGCAAAAAATGTTTGATCAGTCCCTCCTGTAGACAACTCATAACCCTGCCTTTGTACCAACTTATGTAACTGACTTTTAAGTATTCATTTGATTAGACAATTGCCACATAAACTACAAGAAAGAGGCCTGAGATGGCTGCAAAGAATCTATTCATTTTCCCCTTTTTTTGTAATAATTGTAGTTTATATATCTTTAAATTATTACTATGGCAACAAATATTAATTCAGGAGTTGAATGTTGACAGCAAATATTAATTCTTTTTCTATTTCTTTAAATACAATTTTATTTATTTCCCAGTAATCTTAACAAACTTGTTTGCACAATTTAGCCATTGCTTTATATTATTATGTGTTATCATAGATTTTAGAAACTTTAAATTAGTTCATAACTATTACCATTATCTACCAACATTAATAATTTGAATTGCTCCTTTTACTGCATATTTGAAATTAATATTTTCCAATTTAATCTATGATGTTGATCCATTTAAACATCTAAATAACTGTTTTTAGTGTGACAAAAAAATTTTTTTCCTGGAAGTTCGTAGAATACCGTGCATTATCAAAACTTAAAACATACACTATATAAGAAAAACTAATGAAGTTTTTGTTTTATTTTTTAGTTTTTATAAATAACTTGCTTGTTTCAGAAATGCAATCAGTTCTGACATCAAAGATAAGAATTAGTAATAAGCAAATGTCGATTAGGAAAGATGATGTACAAAAAAGTTAATTATAAGTAAACACAACCCTTTCTTTAAAATGTGTATGTATTAAAAATATAATGATCTTCTGTCCATTGTAACAAAGGGTCTCCAAAAGAACATTCTCGTCAAATAATTTGAAAATTGCAACAAGCAGTTATTTTTTTTTAATATTATGGACATAAATGGCAATAAGCAAACTTAAATTGTATAGAAAAAAAAATGTAACTAACCAAAAAAAAAAGGAAATACCTAACCAAACAAAATTTTATTACATAGTGTTATCATTACTTTTTTATTATCAGAAAAGTGACAATTACCATTATCTTTACATATGGTGTACAAAGTTCGTTTTCTTGGAAGCTTTCTATCTACATTTTCTTTTTTGACCGCAAGATCATTTTCACTTGCTTCAGAATCAGTTACATCTATCTCTTTTTCTTCGTATTCCTCTTCATTATCCTCTTCATTATCTAAGTCTTCGCTAGATTTTCCTACATTTTTCACTTCTCCAGATAAAGTAACGTTTTCTGAATCAGTTGCAGTTTCACCTGTCTCAGGGTCAACTTCTTGGATTTTATTTGTTTTTACCTTTTTAACACGTACAACTTTCTTTTTTGTTTTTTTCTGTGGTTTCTTTTGCTTTTTCCATTCATGCATGTTTGGAACATCATCACCATAATACAGTTGGAAGTGCAAATATATATCCATTAATTCTTCTAAACTTTGGGCATTTTCCAACCTAAAATCATATAAAACCAAATTATTTTTTTATTGGAGTTATTTTTTTAAATATAAAAATTTCACATTTTTTACTTTCTTAAAATTCAATAGAATTCGTCTTTATATTCAAAATAATGAGAAAAATATTTGCGCCTTCAGAATTTATTCCTTCACAGGCACTTTTGAATTAAAAAAATTTTTTTAAAAATTATTTTGAAAAAGCCTCATACTTTGACCCAAATAATAAATATAATATATAACGAATTTAAAACAGGATTTAAATATATAAATTTAAGTTTAAACTTTTTCACATTAAGTCACTGTTACTTTAAAAAACAAAGTTGCAACCTCTTGTCTAGCAAATAAGTCTGAATAAAAATAATTTTTTGTAAAAAAAAAACAAACAAAGCAGTTGAGAGAAAGGTAACAGTTTATTCGTAGCGACAAATAATTTAAAAAATAAACGCAGTTAAAAGAAAGGTACAAATTGAAAATAAGTCATATAAAAAGGACAAATAAGCCATTAGCAAAATCAGCAAAATCTTTTGTATTTTTTTTTTTTATATATAAAGTATATAATATATAATATATATATATATATATATATATATATATATATATATATATATATATATATATATATATATATATATATATATATATATATATATATATATATATATATAATATATATATATAGTATAACAAAATTTTGTTATACTATATATATATAAAAAAAACTTGTTGAAAACATTAATGTGAAAAGGACAGTCAGTGATTTAAGCTAAACATTTACCTCCTTTGTTTTAAGAGTATGTGCATCACCTCAAAAATAATTTTAATAAAAACAAATTTACAATTTTTTGTGATTCAGTAGCAGGAGATATATATATTCACAAATCTAAAAATATTTATGGAATCTCTAGATAGAGAGTGGTTATCTGTGGTTAAATAAAACATTTTAAATATTTGCTTGATGAAACCCATAAACTTGTGCACTGAATAACAATTAAAACCATTTGATTTTTTTTTCCATGAAAATTTTTAATATTAAAAATATTTTTGCAAAATTTGTTCTTTTTAATTTTGTTAATTGCTCAGCACTTTAAAGAAATTTGTGCATTTGTTGATTAAAGCACATCATTTTGGATATTCCATAACCAGGATATTCACATCATTTTGTTTATACCATAATCAGTTACTATAATAAATTGAAACCAAACCAGGCCAGGACACAAGATTATAGCCATGTGATTAAATAAAAAGTAAAAGACAGAAATATAAGGTGCTGAATTTTTGCCACATCTGCAAAATAGCTTGACAAATCAAGGCTTTTTTAGCAAACTTATTTTGTTTTGTGTATTTAAATTTCGTGTTTGCTTTTGAGATATTTGGGGATATAATAAAAATCAGATCATTAAGCAAAACAATAAAAATTGTACATGAAATATGTTTTATTATCATCAATAATACAAAATCAAAATTGTCAATAACCTTTCTACAGTGGGTTCAAACAAACAGAGGGTTCTTGCACTTTTTTTTTTTTTGAGCTTCACTTCAATTTTGACAAGTTGTTAAAACTAAACATTTGTTTGTTTTATACAATTTTTGACAAGTTGTTAAAACTAAACATTTGCTTGTTGTATACAATTTTTGACGAGTTGTTAAAACTAAACCTTTGTTTGTTGTATACAATTTTTGACAAGTTCTTTAAACTGAACATTTGTATCTTGTACACATTTTTTTAATGAAAATTTTACAGCAAATTAATGCAGAGATTACTTTAATTTTAATTATAAAATTGTTAATTAAAACTAAGTAAAACTTATTATAAATATAACTAAGTCATAAACTATTATAAATATACTAAATATTGAATGAAAGTAAATAAAAAATGAATAGAAAATAATTAACATTTCAATTCTCTGTTAGTCCTTTATTTGTTATTCTTTACTTTTTTCATAGTTAGTCCTTTTTTTATTAACAATTTTAATTAGACAATCGAACACTGATTTACTAAACCAGCATATTTACAATTTAAGACAATCACTAAACAAAAACTTTTTCTTTTATTTAAATGCAACCTAGTTGTCCATTAAAGTTTTTCTATTATTTAAATGCCATCTAGTTATCCTTTAAACTTGATTAAACAAATTAAAAATTTTTAAAGACTTGTTTTGCATATCAATAAAAAAATTCAGTGCAAATTGATACTTAATCACATTACTAATAAGGAAAACTCTAATAACACGACTCTTATTTAAATATTAGAATATATAAATAAAGAATAGCACTAAAAAAAAATTATGAGTATATAAAAAACTAAAATGTCTTTAATAACAATCTTTTAAAAATAAATAAAACTTACCGGTCAATATCCTCTTGTTCCAAAAGTCGAAAATCATCTTTTAATGGTTCATCAGAATTTTTTTTACTAATATCAAACTGATATGCTTGCATATCTTTAAAAAGACGTTTCAAATTATTTTTTCGTAGAGAAAACTGTGTATACTAAAAAAAAGGTTTTTAACATATTTGAACAAAAACTTTTTTATTGCTTTTTATTATTATAACTATTATATATATATATATATATATATATATATATATATATATATATATATATATATATATATATATATATATATATATATATATATATATATAATATATATATATATATAAAATATTTGAAATTATTTTTTAGATATCTTATCAAGACTTACATCCTATTGTAAATTTCTGGTTTATTTTGGACAGAAAAATTGGTGACAGAGCATTTAGATAAAGACGACTTGAAATAAGCTATAATGAGCACACAGGATAATATAACAACAGAAGAGACTCAATTTTGATTTGATCAACTCAATGCCAAATTGTCTAGCTGAGACCATCAAGGCCAAAGGAGGCCCCACTTGATACTAATTTCCATGAAGTTTGATCAATTTGACATTATTATTGAACTGTGCAATTTTTTTTTTTTTTTGCAGTCAATTTTATGCATCATTAGATCAATTGTGTAAATTTCAATAGGTAAGAAAAGCAATTAATTCACCAATACACAAATAAATTCTTAAAACAATAATTGATAAGATATTTTTAAAAAATTTCAAATATTTTAATGAACAACTCATTTTTTTGATGCAACCTTTATGAAAATAAAAAATGATTTTTTTGAAGTGTACGATTATTATTTTTGCATGTATATTTAAATTAAAAAAAAAATTAGTTATAAATATTTACACAACCAAAACATTGTACCATTGTACATTGTACCAAAAGATAAAGTAAAAAATTAAAAAAAAAATCTAAATATTCAAATATTAAATTGAAAATGATCTCCTAAATTAATACATCATACTTAACAGTTAAACTAATACAAATATTTAATATTTATCTAAAAAAATTTTTTTTTGATACCTACTTCCCCCCCCCCCCCACAATATTTATGCAACAATTTTGTACCCCAGCCTTATTATTCAGGGGGAGGGGGGGAAGGGGGTACAGTATTTAATAAAACACAAAACTATTTTAAATATAATAATGTCTATATTTCTCTGAGCTTCTTTGAGTTAATTAGTACTTTTCAGTTTGTTTAATGTTTTTTTCATCCCAATAGTTCCATTTTAAATTACATTAACATTGTTATCCTAAACATGATACCAATTTTAAAAACCTATTCTTCCGATATATAATAAATGTATAGGATTATATATATAATATATAATACATAATAATATATTATACATGCAAAAATATTATTTTATAAATACAATTTTCTTCTACATTGCGATGTTAATGTGGCTGAGTGGATTCCGCTTAAGGCTAGTAAACCAAGGGTTCCAGGTTCGCCTCTCAGTATCAAAATTTTTTAGTTAGTGAACAAAGATTGTTTTTTTTTGTTGCTGCACACCTTTGCGCACCAACTAAATAAAAGTTCTGCACTTGGACCATATAAAGTCGAAGCAAAGAACGTGCACTGCACATAGACTGTTACAGCCGTAACAGTCTGTTAACAGGATGTAACTACTCCGTTAACGGAGTGTAAATATCAACTAAGTAAGATTTAGGCATAGTTGATTTTACAATCAACATGTAGATACATCAACTGAGGGTTTTGGTTTGGTCAGATACTCTTTTAATTAAAAGAAAGTCTTCTCTAGATTTAAAACTAAAAAAAAAAAAAAATGTTGTGTCACAAAATTAAGACCTTCCTCCCCCTCATAACAAATTGTCACACAATTGCCTACCTCCCCTATCCCCTCTATAGCGTGACGTAATTTATGGACAACCCCTTACTATCAGTAACTAATAAGATCAGTTTACAAACTAATTAATTACCTTTTCATCCCATTCATAAACTTTCCATAAGTCCTCCTTTTTCAGTTCTGGTTCAACATATTCTTTTCTGTACATAGCAATAAATGGAACCTAAATTTAAAAAATAATAAAAAGTTCAAGTTAATTTTAAATACAAGAGTTGCATAAACTTTATATAATTATCAAACAAAAAAATAATATTCATGCAATTGGCAAAACATATTTAATTTTAAAACTATCATTTAATATAAAAAATAGTTATTTTATAGAACTACAAGTAGTGCTGTTACGACTTTGAAATAACTAGACTATCGACAAAATCGATTAAGGTATTTTTAAAAGTTGACTAAAATCTACTAATATTTTTAAAAGTCGACTAAAATCGATTAAGGTATTTTTAAAAGTCGACTAAAACTAACATTTTGTGGAAATCAACTAAGTCGACTAAAAGTCAATTTAATCGAAATATTTGAATTTTTTAAAATTATAATATTTAAATCTTGTTTGTCAATTCATTTCTTAGATGAAATAAATAGAACTTTAAGAGACTAAACGAAAAACTAGGAGGTATTATTCTATTAAATTAATTCAAATCAAGAATAAACAAACAAAATAGAAAATACATTAGAAAAAATCAAGATGGTTATTTTATGTCTTGGTTTAACAAGACACATTGTTCAGCCAAATTTAAAGGGTATTTTGCCAATCTGTAATGATTTTGGCAGCACTTGAAAATAACTTTTCAGAAGGCGTTGATGAAGCAGTTATACAAAAGAGCATCTTTGACAAAACAGGAAGCAAAAATTATTTTTATAAAATGCAAGGAGACATAAATTTTTCGATACTTTTATATTTATATTTAAATAATTAATGATTTCATTGTCTACAGATAACAAATCTTCTGATAACACTGTTTCATTACATAACAATATTTTTTTTTTTTTTTTTTTTTGACTAGATGACGACTCTTGGCTAGACAACTGAAGACTTGTTGGTGTAAGCTGCAATTCATGGCTCAATCGAACAACTAAAAAATGAGCTTTTTTAATACAAGAACTTTTCGCTATTTTGTTCAATATAAATTTAAAATTACAAAATCACAGCTACATGTTTAGATAAACATGTAGCTGTGTACAACTTTTCAATTTTAGGAAATTCCTCACATCTTCGATTAAAATTCTTTTTGAATTTGATGGCGACATTCATAATTTTACCATTATTTGATTCACTTTTGAAGTTAGCAAAGTAATCAGTTAATTTATAAATGGCTGGTAATATAATTGAACAAGTGGTATATTTTGATCCGCTCAAAATTTTTGTAAAATCATGTATTGGCTCTAATAAATCAATTAGCTCGCCAATGATTTTCAGTTCCCAGCTTTTTAATAACAAATCTTTATTATCTTTGTTCTCTGGCTTGATAATAACGTCTTTGATCAATTTTCTAACTTTAAAAACTGACTGCAACATTAAAAAGGTTGAATTTCACCAAATAGCAACGTCTTGTTTTAATTTGTTAATTGAACATTTATTTTCTTGATTGTCAATTTTCATATTATTTAACTCAACACAATTTACAAGCTGAGCAGAAAGCTTATTACTATGTTTGAATAAGCTAACAAGTTTCCTATATTTCTTTAAAATTATGAAAACGCAATAATTTTCGTCAGTTGATAGCTCATTCTCTTGTACAAGAACATCTTTAACAATTAAATTTAATATATGACAAAAACAAATTAGGTTTTTTAATTTATTAATTAGATCTTCTCGACAATGTTTGATATTTGCAACAGTGTCACTACTTGTTGAAAATGTTTTATCGCTTATTCTCCATTAATTTAAAATTAACTCAATTTGCTCCTTTAAATATAGGCTAGTATGAGCTTTTGAGCTATGCTTTAATGCAATCGGAATCGATTTTAAACAAAAATTTTGATCAACAAAATGTACTGTGGCGCCGGTGTATGAATGCAAGGCTTGTGATATCCATCCATCTGTGGTTAGACGGCATTATTCAGCTTGGTTTAAAAGATGCATTATTTTTGCTTTAAATGATTCAAATTTAAACGGCACTATTTCATACAAAAAATTTTGTCTTGCCGGCAATTTGTACTTGTTATCAAACGTAGCTAGCATTTTAATAAAATACTTATAGTCAACAATCAACAGCGGTTGACCTGTTTGAAGAACAAAGTTAGGCAGATTCCTCTAAATCTCTATATTTCTGCGAACTTAAACAATATGAGTGAGAGTTTGCAAATGCAACTTTGATAGATACACAACTGATTGTTGTACTTGGACTCTTTAATATTAATCCGATTGTTATTATACAAATGAATTGCCATTGAGCTTGTATTTTTATTTTAGCTCTTTGTTGCAAACTTTGTTTGTTAAAGTATCTTTAACAGAAAAAATTTGCTAAAATCTAAAGTATCAATAAAGTCAAAGAAGTCACAACTTTTAAGTGTGTTCAGATAAGAATTCCTTCACGCAGAAATAATATCCTAAAGGACTTGCATGAGTACCTATCATTATTATTATTAGAATTATTCCAATAGTTATTAACTTCTAAAGGGAGTTAAACCAATCGTTTAAAATGTCCATTGGGAATTATTATTATATGTATCAATCAATAAAAAGAATTTGATTGAATTTATTTTCTTATTGAATTTTAAGTGAGAGAATTTCAAAAAAAAGATTCTCTCTATGTATCATTAATCAAAACAATTAAAGCAAAAAATTTGAAAGGCATAATTTTTGTAGCGTATTAAGGTGGAGGCTGGTAGGGCCAAACTTTTTTGTGGATTTCAGATTTCTAAAACTTTGTATCTTTTTGGCTTCTTTAACTGATGACACATTATTAAATATTTTTTTAAAGAATTAACTTTTTACAACGAGTTAGTATAACGAGGAAAAATAAACATTAATTTTAGCGGCACAGCATACAGTAAGCTTAGAACTGATTTTATGTGAAACAGCAAATTAGGTTCAATGTTCAGATATTTTGGTTGAATTATAAACCCAGCTATGAATAATGACCTTGCACATGGCTCAATCTTTACAAATATTTTATCTTTATAAAATAATCTACTTATAAGGATATATCTTTACTAATTGGTCAGCATCATAAAAAAATTCAATATTGACAAAGTTAAATCAAATGAAGAGATAAAGAAAAGAATTTTAGGACCCGACTAAATCGACTTTTAGTTGATTAGTAGAAAATCGATTAAATCGACTATTAGATTTTTCATAGTCAACTTTTAGTCGATTTAGTTGAAGTCGATAACAACACTAATTACAAGCATAAAATATTTTAAGTATAAAACTAAATATAACAACAAAAATTTAGCTTTAGCTTTTTTGATACTTAAGTCTAATATAAATTACTTTAAGCTTTTATTTTTATAAAAAAGAGATTAGAGTTAGTAGAGGAAATACTATACCTAGAATACCATCAGAATAATTTTCTATATTAATGACAGTCAAGCAACAATAAGAACCTTAAAGCTTAATCTGCATTTTGTATAAATTATTCATATATTTTTCAAAAAATATCTAGACTTGGCAGCAGCCCTTTTAAACAAACCTCAAACAAATCTTTTTTCATAAAACCAAGTGCTGCACGTATCCTCGGAATTGCTGTTACACCTTTTGGTTCAAAACCAACATACTGCTTCGTTGCATCAACTGGATCCTAAAATTTAAACATTAGCTTTTTGATTTCTTAAAAAAAGTTATTTTGAATATATAAATAAAATCAGACAGGAAAATCAGTCTGTCTGAAATCAGGTACAAAAACAAAACAAAAACAAATAACAAAGCAAAGATTAATGATTTTTAACAAACAGTAAAAACTTAAAATTTTTCAGCTACGAATATAGCTTAAAATTTTAAATTTTACAAATTCCGTTACTTATTTTAAAGTTAGTCAAAGAAGATAAAACAGTTTTTTATTCTGCAATGAAACTAGTAGATGATACAGCAGTTTTAAAGCATAGCGCATCAATTTCTTTTATATAAATAAGAAACTTCTGTTGTAAAATGAATTGGTTATATTATTTAAGTTCATTATCTTTAATATATAACACAAAAACTTTTGGTTAATTTCGAATTGAGTTGGTGCTTTAAATGTGTAAAGTTTTTTTTCCATATTAGAAGCATCTATTAAATTACTTTATTTGAAATAATAAAATATTTTTTTAATATAAAAAAATAAAAATTCTTTTACTTGAAATATTAAAATTTTTGATTTTGTAGTTTAAATAACTACTGCAATAATTTTTTTTTTTTTATCATTTTTTATGTTATTCACCTCCCCAAAACCAATTTACTTCAGTTGAAGAGGCTACTTTTTTTTGTGGTTACAACCCTCTCTAAACTCTTAAATATTGAGAGACAAACCTTGACGAACAAGGCCATTGTGCAGAGAAGTAAGTTGAGTGTGGTACTACCAGGGACTTGGTAGGGATCGAACTTGAAACATCTTGCTTGTGGAGCAAGTGCTCTACCACTACTGCATTAAATAGGAACATTTCATAAAAAAATGACAAAAATGTGACAGACCCACATTACCTCAATAAACAGGCAAATGTGAGTCTATTTAAATGATTTAAAGCAAGGCTCTTCATAAAACTTTGAAAATTATATATATATATTTTTTAATGAAATTCATGTAAATGCTTAATTAAAATTTTAAGAATGTTTTGCTATATATATTTCCTAGTTGAAATATTTCAAAGCTTAACATCAAATATAGCTAAAAGTGTTAAAAGTCTCAGATTACCAAACACTATACTAACACATTTTCAACTTTATTATTGTTAATGCAAGACTATTGGTCAAAAGTGTATGTTCGATAACTTTATAGATAACATGCACAAAAGAAAAGAGATTTTTTTCATTAAATGTATTTATTTATATTGTTTACAATAATAACACTTTTAGCAAAATATGAGATTATTTCGAAGATTACACAGTATATTTACTATTTATTTTCAAAGCATAGATTTTTACAATAAATTTTTAATTAATCATATTGTTTACAATAAAATAATCTTTTAACAAATTAAGATGACAAAAAATCATTTAGTACTTTTTTTGTTTTTATAGATTAAGATTGGAGATGTAAGAGAAAAAAAGGAGTATTTTAAAAACAGGTAAATTGTAATATTTATATAACAGGTAATTGTAATAAAATTATGTCTACATCAAAAAACAAAAACACATGAACAATTTGAGTAATTCATCAAAAATATCAAAATTCTTAAGAAAATCAGGTGACGATTCTTTTGGTGCAGTTAGTAACAGCCTGAAAGATGGTATACCATTTATTAAATTTTGAACATCTTATGATTTAAGAATACTGTTATGTGCTAAGGATTACGCTAATACATTAAAGTTTTCAAATACAATTCAAAAAATTGTAAATGAATATGCAGCCAAAATAGGGTAAAGCATCATAGTCAAACTTAAAATGTGAGCTAATCAAGGTAAAGGGTTTAGCATCACATTAGGTGAGTGGACTTTAGTAAAAACCTATCATTACATAAATGTAAATGTACACATGTTTGACAAATTTTAAGGTCTTGGTTTGCAAAATTGTTAAAAAGATTTGCAAAATTGTTAAAATATTTTGCATATCAACAACAAAAAATGAAATACTGCACAAAAATATCAAAGCAAAATTGAGTAAGGAACTTTCATTAATTTTGGACACTCAAACCCATTAGAGTAGTCTATTAACAATGTTGGAGTGTTTTTATAAAGATAGAAATCCTATGTGAAAAAGACTAATATGTCTACAATCACATTTGACAAATATGATATTGTCTTATTATCATAACATAATATCAGCCTTGCATCGTTTAAAAGTTGCTGTAAAAGCATGGTGTTGTGAAGATGTTAATCTTTACATAGCTGATCTAACATTCCAATTTATGTTAAACAAACTAACTCAGCAAAACTCTTTATAAGGCAAGGAACTTAAGAATGAACTAATATTTTGAATAAAGGAAAGGCAAAGTATTATGTCATATGTTTTACAATTTCTTCATGACCCAAACATTTTGAATAGCAGTGATGTTGATGATTATGGAATATTTAATAAAATAAGCAAAACTTCCATAACTAAAAATGCCATAATAATCATTTATTGAGATAATTGAACATATTTCTAACAATTGAAATAAAAATGTTGTCAGCGATAATGATATTCATTTTAACAATGTAGATGAAGTTATTAAAACAACCTTATATGGTACAAATAGTCGATGTACCTTCAGCTTCATCGCCACTCCCAAAATTCTGAGATAAATATATTTTTTAAAAAAAAGCTTCAATTACAAATTTAAAAAAAAAAAACTTATATTCTAGATAAAGATACTAAGAAGAAAAACAGGAAAGGTATTGCAAGTTTGTGGGAAAGAAATAACTTATTTGCAAGAAGAAAATATTTGTAACAGTATTTAAAATTTGTATTTAATCATCTCTTGATCATTTGCCCAACAAGAAGCCAGAATATTACTCTGCTGCGGGGCAGACAAAAATAAGATCGCAATTAAGTGACAGAAGATGATTTATGCTTCCTAAAATAACTTAAATTCGTTCAAATGTTTCAACCCATATTTGTTTCAAAAATGTTTACCATAAAATTTTAATAGAATAGTTTTCAATTGAATAATTAAAATTTTGTAAAAATTATAAAGAAAATATTGAAATTTTCATGCTTTACAGAGTGGGACAAAAAGTGGAAGTTTTTTACTCTTGTAAAAAGTTTTCTTTATTTGTTGTTGTAAAATATTTTCATCGTTGTTCTATTTTTTAGAGAAACTGTCTGGATGTGAAAGCTTACATTTTATAACTAAAATTGTGCAAAAAATATTGGATATACACGGGAAGCCACGCAATGTGAAGGGCGGTTGGTACTCTAGCCAAGAGCCCAGAGGTAAAGGAGGCACAGCAAAAAAATCAATACACGCCTAATATGTATATCAATACACACACGTGTAACCACAAAAGCTTAACATTTATTTATTCTCAAAACTACATTTTGGAACTGTTGTATAAACCATTTTCCAGGTTTTTTTCACAATTTTTACTTGGCTATTGAACTGTTGAACATAATTGGTCGGTAATCTTTATTTTGATTGCCAAGAGCAATAAAAATAGCACACTGTCAATATAGTTTTTTATTTCTTGTTTATAATAATATTTAAAAATGATGTAATGAAAAATAATAATGTTTTGATAAAAATTGATAACCAAATGAAGAAACTATATTGTTTGGTTGAATGTAATAAAGTCAAGTTTGGTCATTTTTGTGGAATTGATTTAGAGTTAATTAATGTTTTAAAATGGAGGGGGGGTATTGATACTATTTTATGACAAAAGTAAAGCTAAGCACTTCAATCTTTAAAACTTCTTAATCACATTAAGTTGCAAAATCAATTTTGAATAATTGATAATTTGAGTTTTAACTTTAAAACATTTAAAAACCTAATCCTTTTCAAAACAAAAATCTCTAAATCAATACAAAAATGACTTAGATTTTGAAAGTAAAAGCGGTTTCTTGAATAACAAAACTTATATGTTACACATTTATATATATATATATATATATATATATATATATATATATATATATATATATATATATATATATATATATATATATATATATATATATATATATATATATATATATATATATATATATATATTAAAAAACCTGAAAATTTTGCTGTGATATAGGTGGCTGCATAAATGCTTGCTTATAAATCCATTCTGCTTCTTCTTCTAACTCTGTATTAGAAACTTGTTGAACAGGAATGGCTCGAAGTTGGAATCTTTCAGGAACATCAGTGATCTTAATACGATTATCTTCAAGTGTTAAATGACTACGCTCCAGTTCAGTTGGGTCATATATCTTAAGAGATACAATAATATAAAATCATTAACTATAAAAAATGTATCAACATAAATGTCCAATTTTCTAAAATTTTCTATATCATCAGAAACCATATAATCTCTAGTTGTTAGATCATATATAAGAGATAATATAAGAGAGATCATAAGATCATTTGAAATTTTTATTTTGTTTTTTTAAAAAAAGTTGTCCATGAATTATGAAATCCTAAAAATAAAACCATTTGACATGGAAAAATATTTGTTATCTTTATTTATATATTTACTGAAAAATGGAAATTTTTTTAAGATTTCAGTTTTTAAAAATAAAAAAATTTGCGTTGAAAATTTTTAAACCACTAAAAGCAAAAAAAATTCTTAAAAATAATTCATAACTTGCATGAAGTTTTTCAAGGTTGTTAAGTGTTATACTTTATATTACCTTGTATACTAATCCCATTTTGACCCTCATGAACAAAATTTAATACACTGAGTGCTTTAAAAAGTTCCCAAGATATTGTTTTCTTAATGAAATTCTTTTATTTTTATTTTGGATGGCTATTTATACTTCCACCACTCTTTTAAAGTTTAACTTTTTACATTTTTATGGCAGTTTTATGGCAGTTTCAAATGATGGCAGAATAGAAATTTACAAATCATTAACTATATACTTACATCATTACAAAGAATGGAAGGTTTTTAAGCTATACTGATTGTGGGCATTCTTGTTATTATTATATTTGTTAACTGGTGGTATTTTAAAAACATACAAATTTCCTATGAAATTAAAAAAATATGATTTTCAAACACAATGGCATTGAGGACCAAAAAACAATAATTAAAAATTTGTTAGATTCTTTTGATCTCAGAACGATCACTTACTCCAAGCACTGGTTATTTAAAAAAGTTTATGCAATATAAGCTAAGTTTCATGGATATCTATTATTCTTGTTAATCTTCTGCCTTTATGTTAAAGAACTTCATATAACCAGTAAATAAAATTAGGGCTGGGCTAGTGTTGATGCAAACAATGAGACAGCGATGTTGCAACTTAATCGCCAGAACATTAAGGACACCTGATTGGAAAAGGAGACTTGATTAGTACCCAAAACCTGCAGGAACCTCATAATCCATAAAAGATTAAAAAATAGTAAAGTAGGGATTACTTTATGCAAAAACAAAATATATCTTCTTAACTCAATGCATGGGTTGTGTTTGTGTCTCTATTTTTATTACTAGGCAACTCATTCTATTATCTCCTAATGAGGGTACAGCTCTAAAATTCAGTTTTACGGTTCTGAGGCCAGCTGGTAGTCAGGTTTCCTGAACTCTGTGGTAGCTCTTAGAGAGGCTGATTCCATCAACAGCTGAAAAATATCAGAGTACTAACAGTGCCATGTTGCGCATGGATGGTGTCCCTGTTCGTACTTTTGGTGTGCATTGTTGAGGCCACATTTGGAGCCCTATGTTACAGTTTAGGGTTTATTAATAGTAATGAGGCAATTGGTTGGATTATACTGGTTTACATAAAAAAAACTGCAAGCAAAACATTATGAATTTCTGAAAGCTTATTAAAAATGATAAATTTTGATATACTTCTTTTTTTTGCATCACGTCAGGTTTTTGAGAAACCATAAATTTGTGTTTACAAATTTTATGCTTATCATAAGCGGCTTATATCATCAGTTTATGTTTGAATAAAAGTTTAATTGAATATATCATTGCTGTTGTTTGTGTTTCAGATTTTAATTTCAAAGCAGACAGTTTTTGTTATGTTTGTGGACCATTTTGCACAGTGACTGAAAAGAAAAAAATATCACACTAACAAATATGATCAGGAAAAAGCATAGGCGCCTCATGTTATTTGTAAACTTTGTGAAGTAACACTTGGTAAGTGGTTTAAAGGTAAAGTAAAAAGTATGCCATTTGGCGTGCCCATGATTTGGAGTGAGCCTTTGAAATATGTGATGGACTGCTATTTTTGCATGACCAATGTTGTTGGATTCAACAAAAAGAGCAGACACAAGATTCTATATCCCAATGTACTCTCAGCCCTGAGGCCTGCAGAACATTGTTAAGACATTCCTGTGCCCGCTCCTCCTACTCAGCTGGATGATATTGAAAGTGATAACAGCTCATGTTCTGAAGACAGTAGTGATGTTCTTGATCCTGATTTTATTACAGATCTCACACCAAAACCTTTTACTCAAGAAGATTTTGATGATCTAGTTTGAGATCTTAACCTTCCAAAGTCATCAGCTGAACTGCTTGCATCCTGTTTACAAAAACGAAACCTTCTCACTCCTGATTACTAGCGTAAGTGTGTACAGATATTGTGAGACAGAATTTGTACAGTTTCTTTCAAGTAAGCAAGAATTGTTATATTGTAATAATATTGAAGGCCTTGTCACATCTATGGGAATTGCTTACAATGCTAATCAGTGGAGATTGTTTATTGACTCATCAAAGTGCAGTATGAAGGCAGTCCTTCTATTTAATGGAAACAAAGTATTATCACTTGTAGTGGCACACTCGTAAACACTAAAAGAGCTGTATAAAAACATGAAACTGTTGCTCAGTTCGTTGAATTATGACCAGCACAAGTGGTTGATATGTGGAGATTTGAAGGTCATAGCCATCATATTAGGACTCCAAAGATGGTATTCAAAATTTCCATGTTTTTTGGGCCTATGGGATAGCAGAGCACACTCTGAGCATTATGCCAAAAAAGTGTGGCAAGAGAGAGAGGGATTCATTCCAGAAAGTCACAGTGTCAAGTTACAACCTTTGGTAGAAGCACATCGAGTTCTCCTCCCACCACTCCATATAAAATTGGAGTTAATGAAAGCTTTTGTCTAGAATATGGACCATACTGGCTCTGGATTTCAATATTTGTCAGACAAATTTCCACATTTAAGTGAAGCAAAATTGACTGCAGGTATCTTTGCCGCATGAGTGTCAAGTTGCACTTTTTGGACTCCCACATTGACTATTTTCCTGAAAATCTTGGTGCATACAGTGAAGAGCTTGGTGAAAGGTTCCATCAAGACATTTGTACAATTGAGAGTCCATACCAAGGTCGTTGGAATGTGAATGTGAAGCCGACTATTGCTGGTCATTAAAATGCCATAATCTTGGTGCTGCTCATAAGCAAAAATCACTCAAAAGACAATTCACACAGTAGAAGACAATATATAAATGTATATTTGCTTTTATATTATGCTTTTGTTGTTAATTTTGTAAATACCAATAGTTTTCTGCATGACCAAAGTACATTTTGTTGCTGGTTTTATTACTGACTTTTTTCTACATTAACAAATGCCGAACTGCAAAAAATCCTGACATGATACAAAAAATTGAAGTACATATTTGGAATCAGCATAAAAAGTTGCAAGAAACACCTATTTGCATACCAGCAGTTTTCACAAAATGAAAACTTGCAGACCAGTGCTATTAAATAGTGTATTGAGTACTATTTATGTTTTGAGTCAAGTTCTTTAAAAAATTTAACACGAAAAAGTACCAAAAACTATAAAACACAAAAAACCATCATCATCACTAAGTTCTCTAAACCTATCATTCACTAATATTCGTGGTCTTCGAAGTAACTTTTTTTCTGTTGAGTTTTATCTCTCACAAAGTTCACTTGACCTACTTACTCTTTGTGAGACTAATTTGAGTTCAGCTGTCTCATCTTGTGATCTTAGTTTGATGATTATCTTCCTTTAACTCGTAAAGACTCCAATAGTCATATGCTTGACGTGGGCATTTACATTTGTAAGAAATCACCCATTTGTCGCAAAACTAGGTTTGAATCCAGACTATTCTTTTATGTGCTTTCATTTAGCACCACTTCACCCTATCGCTCTTAAGGCACATAAACTTTTGTGAATCATTTACCTTCTCTACTCAACCTATGTCTTGTTTCTGATCCTAGTTAGTGCTCAGTTTCTCTACATTCACCCTTAGGTGATTCTGATCATGGTTTGATCTCTCTAAAACTATTATCTCATTCTTCTTCATCATCAGAATCATCATACCTCTTACAACTATCTTAATGCTGACTGGGATTCTTCCTTTGATTTTCTTTGTGATGGCCAAAATAGTAGAAATCTTTTATCATCCTGCTGACAAACTGCTTCTAACATAAATTCCTGGTTTCAGGCTGGCATGGAACTTTTTATTTCTCTCGATGATTTCAGGTCAAATATCACTCTTCTCCATGGCTTTCTTCACATTGTGCTATTGCAATATCCAATCGAAACCATTACTTCCATATCTATCAGCAAAATAATTCTTTAGAAAACAGACATTTGTTTACTAACGGGTTATGCATAAGTCTTTGAACTTTTTTTGAAACTGATTTAAATAAGGAGAGTAATTTTCAACCTTCAACTTGTTGTTTATTTTGAAGATTAAACATTAATGTATTTAAATCACTTTTAATTTTTATCTAGACTTCTATACAAAAAAAATGACAAGGTTTGATCGAGAAGCCCTTGCAAAACGAATTGTAACGTTCTATGAAAATTGTTCAAGTGATAAAAAGAAATTAACATATAAACATTTTAAAAATGAAGGAATATTAAAGTCAACTATATTTAGTATTCTTGCAAGGTATGAGAAGTATGGTGTGTATAATAATTTGGTTAGATCAGGTTGTTCTCCAAAAATGGATAAGTTAAAAGTCAAACGATGACTAAAATGCTAAATAATTCAACTGGTATTAGTCAAAAGTATTTAGCTTCATATTTTAAGGTGAATCAAAGCACAATTTCAAGAACTATTAATTTTAAAACAGATATTAAATGCTACAAAAAACAAAAAGCACCTTTGAATGAAAAAGATCAACAACAAAGAGCAGCAACATCATTGAGAAGATTAGTTAATAAAGTATTCCATGAAAAAGATATAATCGTGGATGACGAAAAATATTTTAACCTATCAAACTCAAATATACCTGGAAATGATATATATTATACAAATAATAAATTGTTAGCCCCTGATAATATAAAATATAAGTTGAAAAAAAAATTTGAAGAAAAGGTATTGGTTTGGATTTGCATTTCTTCAAATGGATTTTGTCAACCTTATATACATAGATCAAAGAATTCAATAACATCCAATATATATGTGAAAGAATGTATGAAGAAAAGACTTATACCATTTGTTAGAGAACATCATAAAGATAATAATTTTGTGTTTTGGCCAGATCTTGCAACTGCTCATTATGCTAATAAAACAGAAAATTGATTTATTGATAATTCCATAGAATTTGTACAAAAATGCACTAATCCACCAAATGTTCCACAGGCTAGACCAATTGAAACATTTTGGGCTATTTTAAGTCAGATGGTATACAGTGATGGTTGGAGAGCACATAGCATATATCAACTACTTCGAAGAATAAAGAGCAAACTAAATGAAATAAAAAAAAATGATCCAGATCTGTTACAAAAACTAATGATGAGTGTTAAAACAAAACTTAGAAAAATCGCTGATAGAGGCGTCTATTCAATATGTTAAATATATATATAAGTACTAGAATGAATGTTCTTTATTACCACATAGTTTCATTTTTTTATCTAACTAACAATATTTTTTTACAACTCTATAAAAAAAGTTCGAAGACTTATGCATAACTTGTTATTGCTAGAAACCATTGTAAAAAGGTTTTGTCAAACATAAAAGCTCGCTATTCTCAGGTCATAAAATCGCGTCTACCATCACAAAAATTAGGCTCTCATGACTTCTAAAGAAACTTTAACAGTATCAATAATAAGGGCAAATCTGTTATTCCACCTCTCTTGTATGGTTCAGAATTTGTCACCTCACAAATAGACAAAGCTGAATTGTTTGCTAAGACCTTTTTTCATCAATATCATCTCTTGATTCCACAAGTTGCGTTCTACCTGATATAGTCGTCAAACAGGTTGATGCATTGCTTGACATTTGTATCACTCCAGCTTCTGTATCAAAAGTGATTACCTGCTTAGACTCTTCTACAGCTTGTGGTCCAGACAACATACCTGTTATAGTCTTGCAGAAGTGTTCTCCGGAGTTGTCATCAATACTTTCAAAACTATTCAACAAGGGCTTATGAAAATCTTGTTTTCCAGCATGCTGGAAAGCAGCATCCCTATTTTCAAAAATTCTGGAAAGCGATCTGATTCGTCTAACTACCATCCCATTAGTCTTTCCCCTATCACGACCAAGGTTTTTGAATCTTTAATTAACAAACATCTCTCATCTTGAACCTAATAACTTACTTTCTGATTACCAATATGGATTTCGATCTTCTTGCTCTACAGCTGATTTGCTAACAGTAATAACCAATAGGTTTTATCATGCATTAGATAGAGGTGGAGATGTTAAGGCTATCACATTTCTAAAGTTTTTGATAAAGTTTGGCATGTTGGTCTTCTCCGTAAGCTTTCTTCTTGCAGTTTATCTGGTAACATATCTAAGATTATTGAATCTTTTTTTTCCAATCGTAGTATAAAAGTTGTCCTTGATGAGCAGCATTCTTCTTCATATCCTGTAACTTTAGGGGTCCCTCAAGGTTCAACCCTTGGCCCTATATGCTTTTTAACTTACATTAACGATATTCCAGATATTCTCACATTTAAGGTGGTATTGTTCGCTGATGCTACTATAATTTATTATTGTCATAATAAGAAGCCAACACTCTCTGATTGCTTGAAGGGGGCATCTGGGCTTGAAAAGGATCTGATTTCTGCAACAGCATGGGGCTCACAGCAGCTGGTGAACTTTAATTCAGATAAAACTCAAATTTTCAGCCAATCGTTATTGCAATAATTTAGATTTTTCTATATTTATGAATGGTAATGTACTTGATTAGTCATCTACCCTTCATCTTCTAGGATTAACTCTTACTTCTAATATTCCTTGGAAAGCATATATTAAATCTGTTGCAAAATTAGCATCTGCTAAGGTTGCATTTCTTTATCATGCTTGACAGTTTCTTACTCTGGCTTATTTTCTTCATCTCTATAAATCTCAAATCCGTCCTTGTATGGAATACTGTTGCCATATCTGGGATGGATCTTCTAATGATGCCCTTTTTCTTTTAGACAAGGTGCAAAAACGCATTGTAAACATAGTTTGACCTGCTCTTATAGCCAACCTTCAACCATTATCACATCGTCGCAATGTTACTTCTCTTTCTCTTTTCTACAACTACTATAATAGGCACTGCTCTAAAGAGCTAGCGCCTCTTGTGCCATCTACTAAAATTCATTCATATTACTCGTCATTCAATTAAGTCTCATCCTTTTCTGTTACTGTTCTTAAGTGCTCCAAAAACTCTTATTCGTCTAGATTTTTTCCTCGAACATCAGTTCTTTGGAATTCGCTTACTTCATCTTGCTTTCCTGATTCATATAATTTGCAATCTTTTAAGTCAGCCATTGTCTTGCTCTACAAACTTTATCTTTTCTCTTCCAGTAACTCTTATAGTCGTTGCTCGCGATCTTGTTGGAAACGAAGATGTAAAAAAATAAATAAATAAATAGAATGGATGACTAAATTTGTAAACGTGTAGACAAACCTATTACAACATGTCTGTGCAAGTTCCATAAGCATTTAACTGCTGTAGCAGTTGTGAGCGTGATTTGTTTTGTTTTCTTTTGCCGTAAAAGTATTTGTTTTTATTTGAATTCTTTTTTGTTTGGTGAACAAATTAAGATTATTAAATTATTATTTCTTTCTTTTGCAAATAATAGAAACTTGCATTTAAGAGAATCCATAACAAATAAATTTATTTTTTAAGAAAATAAAATTTTGTGGAAACATTTTTTAAAAATGATTTAATTTTTTATCTTTAAATCTTTAGATTTTAAGAGCGTTGAATAAAAAGTTTTTAAAATCTTCTTACAAACTATAAAAATGAAATTCATTTTTATAGTTTGTAGTACCCCCCAAAATTTTATTGTGATATATAAACAGTTTGTCTTTCATTTATATTTTTAACTCTCATTTATATTTTTAAAAAAAGTTAATTTTATAGAAATACTGTCAAAAATTTATAATATAATAAACTTGTAAAACAGGATATAAAAAGATTATAAATAACTTCTTACATCATAAATACTTTTACGAGAAGCTTTTTTCCTTGCTTTACGTTGTTCTATTTTAGCTGCTAATTCTTCTTCATCTAAATCCTCATCAAACTCTCCCTCACCTAAATCATCAGATTCAGGTTCTAATTCACTCAAATCAAACTCCAATCCAAAGATATCTTGGGCATCTTGTAATGCACTAAAAAATTTTCAAAAATTGTAGAAAACTGTAAAACAAAAATGATTTAACTTGAACTTTTTTTTAACCTCTCAGAACTGCAAAAAAAAAAATTTATTTTAATTTAAGTGAATCTTACTTAACAGATTTGTAATTCCCAAATAATTGCATTGACCCTTCTAAAAAACACTAGAAAAGAAAAAGCTAAGTAAAAGAATTCTTTTTACAAATATACTTCCGATTACTTTTAGTTCAGGTTAATTTTATTTACTAAGACTGGTGATGCCAAAAGATGTCAAAAGTTTGTTTGTGAAGAGATGGATAAAAATTTTTTTAGCTGTTTTTATGTTTTTAGAAGTTTTATTTTTTTTTAAAAAATTTAGAACCTCCCATTTATTAAATTTATAAAAATTTCTGACCCTCCCATTTATAAGGACCCTGTTCATTTGGCAGGTGAGAGCAAAGATATTTTTCAATAGTTTCGGTAATAATACCAGGCTTTAAAATGTGTCATGTCAAAAAAAAAAATGAAACAAAAAATTATTAATTGATGACTCTCTAAAACAAACATTTTTGGATAAAAAGATAAATGTTGCATGAAAAAAAGAACCTAAAAACATCAGTTTTGTAAAATTAGATATATTACTGGTAAAATTTCATGACATTTCAAAAATAATAAGAATCAATAACTCAATAAAAGAAAATAAATATAACTTAATACATAATAAGAATTAACTACTCAATAAAAGAAAATGAATATAGCTTAAAACCTAAAGAGTCAAAAAAATGCATGATACATCCATGAAATAGTTACCTTGAATTTCAAAATGTTATCAGTTATGTAAAAAAAAAAGTTATTACAAAATTAAAGAAAATTTGAAGAAAATGAGGATAAAACAATTAAGAACAAACCAGTGGAGAACGATAGATAGAGTAGAGTTTTAGTACACAGATAAACATATAGAGTTTTAATCATACATACATACACACATAAATACATACATACATACATACATACATACATACATACATACATACATACATACATACATACATACATACATACATACATACATACATACATACATACATGCATACATACATACCAGTGGTGTACACTAGACTTTTAGATGTTTGAGTTTTGACACTTACAGGTATTGTGCAAACTCCAAACTTTTGTATGTTCATGCTTATATCAAATGAGAATATTTTGCAAAGAGTTGTGGTGATTGGAGCTTGGGGACAAAAAAAACCCAATTTTCGGGCCCACCCAGCCCTTAACGTGGGAGCAAAAAGTTGATAAAATAATTTTTGTAGTATTTTTATCTAAGTTTATAATCATCAACAAATTTCTAATTTTATCCAATAATTTCTTATTTTTTGAAAATTATGACCATATAAAGTTTTAACCCCCCTCAATTTGAGGGGGGTTAAAACTGGGCTGTAAACTTTGTAGGGTCATAAAAACTAAAAACTAAGAGGTTATTGCATGAAATTTGAAATTTGTGGATGAATATAAACTTAGATAAAAATACTAAAGAAATTATTTTATCAACTTGTTGCTCCCCTGTTAAGGGCTAGGTGGGTCCGAAAATTGTGTTTTTTTGTTCCCAAGCTCCAATCGCCACAACTTTTTGCAAAACATTCTCATTTGACATAAGTATGAACATACAAAAGTTTGGAGTTTGCAAAATGTGTGTAAGTGTCAAAACTCAAACATCTAAAAATCCAGTGTACACCACTGCATACATACATACATACATACATACATACATACATACATACATACATACATACATACATACATACATACATACATACATACATACATACATACATACATACATACATACAGACATACTTGGGTCGATTTTAGCTTTTTTTTTGAATTTTGAGTTGCATAATGTTGCAATTACGGTGTCTAGGTTAGAAATGAGGCTTTGCCAAATCTCAAGTATCCTGGTTTAAAAATGGCTTGCGGAATTATATTTCAAGTCTTAATTTTGGACTAGTTTTGTTAAATTGTTAATTTCAAATATTGAAATATTTTATTTTTAAGTTTAGCAATCTCATTTTAAAATATCTCATTTCAAATTTATAAAGTAACCAAAAAACGATTTTTTAAAAAGCTCAATTGTTTTAAAAAACCAATAAATTTTCGCTAAATAGTTAACACACATTTAAATTTAAAAGTTCTTGTTTGTATTTAAAAGCATTGTATTATGTTTGTATTTAAAAGTTGGTTTTTAAAATAAATATAAAGTATTTAAATGCTGCATAAAGAAATTGTTTAATATCAAAGGTAAATACTTATGATTACTATATTTAGAGTTTTTACCTGTTTAATATTACCTAAGTTTTGTTTTGCAATTTCTGAAGTAGATTAAAATAGATCCAAAGCACTTTTATACAGGTTATTCAGTACTATTAACATCTTACTCAAATCTAAATGCAGATATCGTATTATTGACTCAGCAAATTAACAGTAATATAAAATCAATTTGGGCTACAGTAAACCCAAGTTTACCTCTTATAACTGACAAATCAAAAAAGTAAAAGATCTTATTGTATTTGTTAAGGATATTAATTGCAAGCACGGAAAAGCAAGTTCTAAAAAAAAATTTAAATGCAAACTTAGACAAACTTTTTGATATTTCAGTGTGTTCCTGTTCATTAGATGTGTTTCCCTGTAGTGACAGAAAAGTTTCATTTAATAAAGAAAATTGTATCGAAGAACATATTGTTTGTTTGTGCTCTCAAAGTAATAAAGTACCTCTTGAAGACAGAGCTTATTTTCATGATCAGAGGAAAAAAATCAATCCAAAAGGTGCATATCAACTTTCTTCTGTTGATAGATTATCTGGCAAAAAGAATTCAAAGACTTGATAAAGAACAACAAAAAATATCTCATAAGCTAGTTGATAAAGATGAATCATACCACACGTAAACTTAATTGAAGAAACAAGTGGTTTATCCAATACGGAGGTAAATATTTTATAAATACATGAAATATTTGTAGTAGATGAAACAGAAAGCATTTTATTTTATTAACTTTTTTTAGGATAAAGGTGAATAAAAACCAATAAATAATCCTATTGGAAAATACAACTTGGTTAAACTTTCAAGATTTGGATTGGAACTAGTCAGAAGCGAGTGTTTGTCAAACATAGGTGTAGTCCTTGCAAATACTTAACTACATGAGATTAAACCTGAAAAATGATGTTAATATAAAAGATATTTTGATTGACAAATGCAAAATAAGATGAGCCAAGTCAAAAGTAAAAATCATTAGTGAAGATGTGGACTCAGAACAAAAAAAAAAATAATTTGTCTTGGGGTTGATAGCAAGCTCAATCAGATAACTAAAACAAGTAAAATAATAAACTCACCTCTAGGAGAAGTACTAAAGAAATGCAATGAACCTGAACATCGCCTCACATTTACTTATGAAGATGGAAAATCGAGAGGAAATTATTCGACACATAGGATGATTTCTGGTCAACAGGCTTAGTTCTTTACAAGAACATAACACTTTGGAAAGTATACAAGCTGTTGATAATACTGCTACCAATACTGGACTAATAAGTGGCTTAGTGGTATAACTAGACGAGATTTTAAAAAGAAAACTACATCTAATTGGATGCGCCTAACATCAAAATGAACTTCTGTTACGAGCTTTTTTATAAAACTTGATGGTGACACAACTGGGTCAAGAAGCTTTAGTGGTCTACTTGGCAAAAGATATGCTGAAAATATTCAGGAAAGAAATCAGTTTTTTTTTTGAAGGTATTGAAAACCCAATTTTAGATGGATATCCCAGAAGAAATACTAATAGACCTTAGTTGCAACCAAAGACTTATTTGAACTTTGCAAAGGAATAGGCTTTGGTAAAGTTTCTGATAAATGGGCTGCCTATAAAATTGGACCGCTTAACCATGCAAGGTGATTAACTCTAGCTATTCACCTTCTCTGTTTGTATACTAGAGACAATCAACCAACCGTTTCTTTAAAAAAACTTGTATATGTATATACTTATTGTTCAGGTTTATGCTCCAGCAAGGTTTGAAATAAGAAAATCTTCAAAATTTCACGAATCCCTGTGCTTTATTTTTTCTACTATTACTAGAATAAATAATCTCCCTTTTGATGATGTTAAACTTATTGTTAAAAAGAACATTAAAAACAATGGATTGTGCCTAAAACCTGATAATATTCTTTATGGGCTAAAAGATAATGACAGCAAAATACGAAACTTTGGTTTTCAAATCCTACTGGTTTTAAGGCGGAAGTTTTTTTTTATAGTTAACTTAAATAATGTTTTTAAAAAAATGATACATTAAATATAGTAATTTGGCTTTGGTTTATAATTATAAAGTAAACAACGAAAACTTGAAAGAAAATTTGAAGAAAATTCTGAAAAATAAATTTATTGCTAACCATTGGTATGAGTTGGTTGACATCAGTATTACAAAAGTTACGGAGCCCCCTACAACACAACATTTTTAAATTGAGTAAATCCAATATATGATTGACAATAATGTTAAACCTGAAATTCCCGACTTTCTATCTCACTCCCAGAGTATTGAGCAAGCGGTAAAACTTGTGTCGGAAACATCCCAATATGTTTATGGATTTGAGAATCAAAACAGCTGCATTTTAATTAAACTACTAAGCAGGAAGATGTTTTTAAACCATATATTTTAAAAGGGTGTTATTCCCATTCTTATGATAATATTTTTTAATTGAAAATGTTTTCCTAAAAATATATATCCCTGTTAAAAATGTTTTAAATTGTGAAAATAAAGTTTATTTTGATATTCTTATGTAAACATAAGAATAAAAGTTTCACTATTTAAATGTTATAAAGTATTATAAATTTAAATCATTGAGAATGCAAATAATGTTAAAAACATCTAAATATGAACATATGTTAAACATCAATTTTCACATATATAGGCCTTCTCAGGAGTCGCGTGGGATCGCACGCCTTGAATGACCACGCATATATATTTTTTTATTGATAACATGGCCACGATTTTTTTTTGCATGTATTAAATATGATGTATTTTAAAAACGCGCTGAAAAAATCAAACTAATTAGTCATCTTATTGGGTTTTTTTTTATTATTAATGATTTATTATTATAATTATTTGAGAAAATAAAAACCTAACAATAATGTACATATATATATATATTTTAAATTAATGACAAAATAAAAAGATAAAAATAATATATAAATATATATACAGCGATGGCCAAAAATTAAAGACCACTCTTTTTTTTTTAAATTTATTTTTAACCTTAGTATAATTTTATTTTGGAAAAAGATATCAAAAAAAAAAAAAACCTTTTTAGAAAAAATTTTATTGTATTTTATATTTATTATAAAAGATAATAATTTTTTTTAAAAATAATGTTAAAAAATTAAAAAACTGACTAGTAAAAAATATAAATGGAAAAAAAAATTGGACAAAATTTAAAGACTAGTTTTAAAAATATTTCAAAAAGCAATAAAAAAATAATTTAGAAACGTGTTGTTCCTCCATTTGTTTTCAAGCATTCTTGAACTCGTTCTGGCATTGAATTCATTAAAGTTTTGATTACTTCATCTGACACATTATTCAAATGATGAGAAATTGTAAAGTTGTTCTTTACCAAGCTTGTGATCAAGCCTTTATCAAGCTTGTGATCAACTATAAATTCTCTATTGGATTTAAGTCTGGACTATTGGCAGGCCATGGAAGCACTTGAATTTTATTAGAATTGAACCAATCGCTAACAACATGCGCTTTATGACACAGCGCATTATCTTGCCGGAAAATAAATCCATCTTGCAACTGCCATAAATCAATGCTAGGAATAAGCGAGTTTTCCAAAATTTCGATGTACCTTTCTTTGTTGAGTCTACCATCGAATAAATGAAAAACCCCAACTCTACAGGCACTCATACAGGCCCAAATGCCTATTGAACCACTGCCTTGTTTTGTTCGTTTCAAAATGTATGATTCATCGAACCGTTCGCTTGGAAGTCTACGCAACATTACGTGACCTTTTCTGCTGTCTACCTCAACGTTCATTTCATCACTAAAGACCACACGGCTCCACTGATCTGTTGACCAATTTTTATGTAGTTTGCACCACTCTTTCCTGGCAAATTTTTGTTTTTTATTTAAGCGTGGTTTTTTTGCAGCAGCACGCTATAAATAATTAAAATTGTGGAGGACCCTTTGCACAGTTCTAGGGCTTGCTTTCAGACCATTTGACAGTGTCCATTTCGTAGACAAATCTGTAGATGATGCTTGTCTGTTTTCTTGCATTAATCTCACTAACGAGCGAACATCACGGTCATTTGAAATTTTATTGCGTCCAGTCCTATGACGATCATTAATTGACCCGGTCTCTTTGTATTGTTGAATTATGTTAATAATGCAAGAGTTAGACCTTCCGAGCTTTTCTGCTATTTGTCTGATGCTATAGCCTTCTTCTTTTAATACAAGAGCTGCGTATCTGTCTTTTTCTTCGATCTTTGCACGCATTTTTGCAATATTTTTATATCCTTATTGCAATTCAAAAAATAAATGTTTATTTGATATCGAAACTCAGGTTTCGACATTTTATTTTATTGCAAACGTAATAAGCAATTAAGACAGTTAAAAAAAATAATCGATTATTATTTATAACAAGTGCAAATTAAAGATTTGAAAGTGGTCGTTAAATTTTGTCCAATTTATTTAAAGAAGATTTATAAGTACTCATCAGTTTTTTAATAAGTTAAACGCTATTTAATTAGAATTAGATTAAAAAAATTATACCTTTTTAATCCGTATGTTTTAATTAACAAGATATTAAAAAAAAAAGATTAAGAAACCAATTAAAAAATGAGTGGTCTTTAATTTTTGGCCGCTGTATATATATATATTTTATTTGTTTTCATGCATTTAATAAAATTCTGGCGACTTTTCGTTAAGTTTTTGTTTACTAAATGAATTATGTCATTAAGTAATTAATATTTCTTCCTGTTGGCTTGACAAGGTTTTAACTGAAACTTTTTACATAAGGAGAATTAAAAAAAAAACTTTTTTATATGTATTAAAATTATTTATTTATTTTTTTGTTTGTTTGTTTATGTACTATTATTTTGGTTGACATATAGATGTTTATAAAAGATATAAATGTGAATACTTAGCAGCATTTTAAAAATTCAATCTTATATAAATAAAGCAACACGCATAAATGTAAGAAATGTAAGTAAAAACTTCGACAAGCCAATGACTCAATTAAGTAATAATAAAGATGTAAAACTAAAATATTTTTCTGAAGTTGCTCTTGGTCTTGCAAAAAAACTGTTTTCGGTTTGATAACTTTCATGAATGTTATGAAAAATTACTCAGGAAGAGTGCCACCAGTTTTTTTTTTTTTTTTTTTATTTTTATTTTAATTTACCTCCTCAAGGCCGAGAAGGCCACTACAAACAAGGAGGCTACTTATTTGTGGTTATAACCCTCTCTCAACTCTATAACTCCGAAACACGAACCTTGACGAGCAAGGCCGCTGCGCGGAGAAACGAGTTGAGCGTGGTACTACCAGGGACGTGGTGGGGATCGAACTCGGAACCACTCGTTTATGAAGCGAGCGCTTTACCACTACACCACTACCGCATTAAAAAAATTTCTTTGTTAATTATTTTTAATGAATGAGTTCAATACTTATGCTATTCTTTTGTTAAATAACTCTAACTCTTAATAATAGATAAAAAAAAATCATGATAACTGCTCGATTATGTAAGTGATGTAACTTATGTAAAAAATACAGTATTAAAAAAACAAGTTTATTTTAAAAAAGTTTTTATAAAAATTTTAAATTGGTATATGAGACCTATAAGTTGAATCAGTTTTTTTATTTTGTTTTCCATGTAACATAAGTGCAAGTGGCATTTTCAGTAATAAGTTTGCTCTCTTTTGGCTGAACTCAAAACTTTTAAGCTTATTTTATTTATTAGACCAACAGCTTTCATACAAAATTGCTAAAAGTTTAATTTAAAATTTTAAATAAGCAAATATTTGATAAAGTTGTTGCGCATTAAAATAACATATATGGGCAATTCCATTTTTAACTTACGTTAAAAATGGAATTGCCCATATATGTTATTTTAATATTTTCTCATTAATAACTATAATAATGAATTATTAATAATAATAAAAAAAAAGATGAGCAATTAATTTAGTTTTTTCAGCGCGTTTTTAAAATGCCTCATTTTTAATAAATGCAAAAAAAAAATTGTGACCATGTTATCAACAAAAAAATATATATGCATGGTCATTCAAGGCATGCGACCGCACACCTCTCCTGAGAAGGCCTGCATATAGTGCTTTTTAAGGTGTTATTTAACATAATTCTACAAATCTTAAAAATTAAATCCGCAAGCGATTCTTCATCCAGAATCTCTCAAATTTTAAGAGTAATCGTATAGTTTTTTGCATACTGCATAATATTGCAGTAGTCTCCAACTTCTGCAATATTATGCAATATGCAGAATTAAAATTGACCTACCCTAATACATACATACATACATACATACATACATACATACATACATACATACATACATACATACATACATACATAAAACTTCAACTCATTTTTTAATATCTATAAATTTATAATTTTAATGAAACAAAGCTTCAATAAAAATTTAAGTTTATACCTGTCAGTGTATCTCCCAGATACACTTTTCTTTTTTGATTTCTTAGCTCTTATTGGTTGGTCCTCATCATCAACAATAAAATCATCAACTTCATCTCCTGATTCTTCATCTCCAACTTCTACTGCTTTATAGCTACTGTGTGAATGTCTTGATTCTGGTCGATCGGACAAAACAGATACTTCATCATTGTCATCTGCATCAAATATATCATGAGCTATTTTATCTCGTTCATTTTGTGGAGGCCTATCAGCTTCCTCATCATCAGAATCCAATAATTTAACACGTGAGTGCTTTTTCTATAAATAATCATTTTGTTTAGATTGTGTGTATATATATATATATATATATATATATATATATATATATATATATATATATATATATATATATATATATATATATATATATATATTATATATATATATATATTAACCCTCGGAATTAGGAAAAATGAGGTCGGCAATAATTTGCCGACCTCAATCTTTTTGAGGTCGGCATCAGGTCAGCAAAAATTATTTGATACAAAGATCTGACCATAAACATAGAAACAAAGTCGGCAATTTTTTGCCGACCTCAAACACTTTCAGGTCGGCAGTTAGGTCAGCATTGCCAAATGCTGACCCTAATTCCGAGGGTTGCTATATATATATATATATATATATATATATATATATATATATATATATATATATATATATATATATATATATATATATATATATATATATATATATATATATATATATATATATATATATATATATATACATATATTCAAAAAGCCAAAAAAAAAACATCTTTTTTACTTTTCTAATTTTAATTCCAGTATTTTCTTGAATTAGATCAAGATCATCTTCATCGACATCATCTTCATCGCTCTCTGAAATTCAAAACATAATATTAAAATATAAAAGCTAAAAAAATATTCAATTAAAGTTTTTCTAAAATAAGTATTTTTTTTTTTAAATCAACAAATCTGATTTTTTAAATTTTGTATATCCACCAATCAATCATATAAAATTCCAAAATAAATTACTATTAAGATTTTTACAATTATTTATCGGGATATATACTTTACATTGCTAATGTATTGCTTATAATACAACATATTACTAGAAAATTAAATAAATAATAAACTGCAGTTTTTAAAAATAATTTTCAGAAATCAAAAACACACCGAATGACATAATTAAAATAAGTAATAAATAGTACAGAAAACACAAAATTTATTTCAAAAGCATTTAAAGCAAAAAAAGTTTTAATATAATGTTTTTATATGAATTCAAACATTGTTGTGAGATTTTATTGGGTAAAGAAAATGCATAACGCTAATAAATGTAACTTTAATAGTTACATCCATAAAAGTTTTAAAGTACCACATTGTTATTTAATTTAGTTTTAAACCACACTAAAAATCATTCAAAATAATTTTTAAAAATTACTGATTAAATCTAAATTTGGTATTTAAAAAAGATTATATTTCCCTATAACTTATTTCTTAAAAAAATCTTATAATTAACATAATCTTTTGTTTGTTTATTACAGTTTATTTATTTTATTTTTTATGTATTTAATGTGAAATTTTAAATAAAGATTATAAACAATTTATAGATCAGTTACCAATAAGATATATCAGTTACCAAAATGATTTTCGTAAATGTAATTTATGTTCATAAATAAATTACATAAAAAGAACTTTACATGATATTGGATAAATAAAAAACAAAAAAACTTAAATAGATTTGTGAAAAAAATTCTCCTAAACAAAAACACTATTGCTTTTTATAAAAAAAAAAAAGTTTTTTTTCTTATAAAAAGCAAAAGAAGAGAGACATGTTTTACGTAATGAATTAGCTAGCAGATAAAAAGAAAAAAAAACTTTCAATAAATATTGCAAAACTATTTTACATTCCTTCAAAACTAAATTTTATATTCTACACTTTACTATTTTACACTCCATATAAACTAAATTTTACACTCCATATAAACTAAATTTTACACTCCATATAAACTAAAATTAAACTTTTAAAATCGTATTTAATTTAAAGTCTTTTAATTAAAAAAATGTTTTTTATAAAATATTCTGTTTCTTTATAAACCTTTCAGGTAAATGCTTTTTTAACAACTAATTTTTTCTGAATAACCATTTTATAAACAATATTAAATAATAACTTGAATATTCCAAAATAAAAAAGTTTTTCCTTAATGTAAAACTGTTGAACACCTATGCAAATCGCCATTTTGTACTTAAAATGCAAGTTGCATAATGCTTCTTAACAAGACCTATGAATTTTTACTTTTTATTTTATTACAAAATAAAAAGTACCCTTATTATATTTAGACATTTCTTTTCCTAATATAATCCTTTTGTTCTAAAAATATAATAATATTGTTCTAAAGATATAACATTAAATATCTTTTGGAAATCTTAATTGTTTGTTTTTTATCATAATAATTAGAACAACACCGACACATTCAATCGAATTTAATCTGTAAATAAAATTTAAATGGTACATTACAAGCCTAAATATTTTTATAACAATGTAGCCTGATTAGTATGGTTCTGTTCATAAGTTAAATTTGTCACAGCAAAATATTTTGGTAAAAAAGCTAACAAATTACTGTAATAATAATAATAATAATAATAATAATCATAATATACATATCTAATTTATTATAAGCAATTGACATGTCTAACTTAGTATGTATAATTTAAATGTTAATTTATTATGGGTAGCTTACATGTCTAACTTATTATGTACAGTTTACATGTCTAACTTATTATGTGAATTTAAAAGGTCTAACTTATGTGTAATTTACGTCTAACTTATTATGTGTAATTTGTGTCTAACTTATTATATGTAATTTACAAGTCTAATTTACTATGTGTAATTTACATGTCTAACTTATTATGTGTAATTTATTTATCTTATTATTGCTTATCTTATATAGTCTTCTTAACAAATAGACAAAATCATGCTTAAACTAGATTATGTTTTCTAGTTTTTACAGCAAAAATGCTAAATGACTAACTTTTTTAATTCTATTTTGTCCAGAAGTATAAAAATATAGGCACTAATTTACAGAAAAATTGTTTGGTTACATCAATAAAGAGGGTTTATTAATAGGGGCAACTTACAATTAAGAAAGTGGAAAAAAAAAGAAAAAATCTTAAAAACTGTACCATGTTTTCTTTTACGACTACTTAATAAATCTTCATCTTCATCACTATTTTCATCTTGCTCTTCTTCTGGTTCATCGTTAATAATGTCATTAATTTCATTTTCATCTAAAACATTTCTTTTATATCAATACATGTATTTGTAAGTATATCTGCAACATATAACAAGAGTAATTTATTTTATACATAAAAATAATTTATAAGTAAAAAAGTAGTATATATATATATATATATATATATATATACATATATATATATATATCAGGCCTTGTTTTAAAGCGTTACGCCTAGAGCGATTTACGTACGCCTTAAACGCTTTTTACGTACACATAGAGCTGTTTTGGTTAAGCTACTTTTTATCATTTTTTAACTTTTAAATTAGCGGAAACATAAAAGAAGTAATTAATTTTCAAAAAAACCACTTTAACTTTTAAATAACGATATGTAAAGGTATTTATTAAAAAAAAGAATTTACTTGTTTTTAATTAATTGTTTAAAAAAATTTAATGTAATTAATTGTTTTAACTTTTCATCGCGATATATCTTTCCTTTTTATAGCAATTAATTTGACGCTAAACTTTTTATCCAAATATTTAGCAACATGAAAAATTGTTTGTCAATCCTTAACTACAAATTTTTTGGAATGTTTTTAATAAAAAGTAGTAAAGTTTTTAGTAAAAAACTTTTAAAAAATCTATATTCTATATTTATTAATACAGAATATAAAAGTTTTTTGTAATATAGATTTTTTATGAATTTTTTACTGAATTTATAATAAAAAACATTTGCAAAAAAATTTGTAATTAAGAATTGACATTTTTTTTAATAAAATCTCAAAAAATGTCTTAATATTTTTGTTATCATGATAACAAAAATATCAAGACATTTTTTCGAGATGTTAAAAAAAATGTCTTTGCTTTTCTTATTAGTTTAATAGTATATAGCTTATAGTTAGTTTAATAGTATATAGCATTTCTTATTAGTTTATTAGTATATAGTTTAAGTTATGCGGGAGGAGGGGGTCGGCACAGAAAAAAAAATTACCTGTTACTCGCAATATTTGAATGAAGACAATTTTAAAAATTCTTCTGCATGCGATTCAATAAGTTTTTTTTGTCATAAATCAAGTTATAATATAAGGTAAAGAAATCATGAGTAGACTACAACATCCGCTGATGACACTAATATTACGTTGAATATATTTATATAACGGAGGTTTTATTATGCACGCGCACATTACAGGTTCCGTTAAATAAATACTAAGGCACGTTTTAGTTTAATGACAGTCTCCATTTTTTACTAATGAATATGTATTTTTCTTTATAAAACAAAACAAACTAGTATATAAAAACCTTGTATATTTCTATTATCTCTAAATTATTTAAAGTTCGAATATGGATTGTATTTTGAAGGACAAAAGGTTTACTTTAAAAACTTTTAAATCTTGGGACTTTGCCGATGCGATGATCACAGAAAAAGAGAAGACTTACGTTATTAAAATCAAATGTAAGTTATGTGATCTTCATCAAAATAAAATATTATCCAAAAACAATAGTGCCGTAAGGGCAACTGCCCAACGGTTTATAAATAATACAAGTCATGTTAAAATATTTTAACATGTTACCATATTTTAATTAAGTTGATATATAATTAAAAATAAAACTATAGTTCAATAAATAAATTAAATTTATTCTTAACAAAGATTACCTCATATTTATTCTTTTTTTTATTTTATTAAGTTAAATTGCTTACAAACGAAAAAAAAAAAGAGTTTGTAATTATACGTAGAATGAAAATACTTTTGAGTTTGTTTATAAGTTAAGGAACTTAATTTTTAATAAACAAATTTTTACGAACGTTTATTATAAACAGATACGATTCAAATTATTAAATATACTTAAATTATTTCAGTTGAGTATTTTTATAAGTTTGCACGATTAAAGTTTGGCGTACAAGTATTTGTTTGTTTGTTTTAAGAATAATTAATAAAAGAGTTTGCATAATTAAGACTTTTATATTTAATTTAATTTTTTTTTTAATTTCCTAAAATTAAAAAAAAAAAAAGATTTAATCGTTGAAAACGATTTTTCTCTATAGCTCTGTTTCTTTGTGATTTGTTTAAAAAGTTAAATATTTTTACAATAACATAAAAAGTTTATGAATTAAATTCCTAGCGAACGCGTTCTAAACTACGTATCAAAAATACGCTTCAAAGCAGACAAAACTTTTTTATATTTTTATAAAACGCAAGTTGAAACGCTTTTAAAAATTTTAAAAATATTTAAAAACTTAAATTTTTCTTTGCTAGTCAAAACAAAATCGTTGTTTAAATAATTAACATGGGTTTGTGTTTATCAATGTTAATATTTTTTGTTTACTCTAGAAATTTTTAAAAATAAAAAAAATCATTATTATTTTTTATTCAATAACGATTAAAAACAATTATACAAAAACAAATTTCAGAAATAATTAATATATATATATATATATTTTTTTTACTAAATAATATTGAACTAAAATTAATAATAAAATAACAATTGAAAACATTACAAAATTTTCATAATAAATTTATATTTAAAACGTTTATAGTTTATATTTGAGTTAATTGTTAAATTGAATTAGTTTGCGGTTATTTATTTATTGCGGTAGTTAAAACACTTTACGCCTATAAAAAAAAATAAAGATAATTTTATGACGTCAAAATCGCGTTAAGCTAATGCATTAAGCACTTTTTTATTTAAAACAAGGCCTGTATATATACTACTATATAAATAATTTATAAGTAAAAAAGTAGTATATATATATATATATATATATATATATATATATATATATATATATATATATATATATATATATATATATATATATATATATATATATATATATATATATATATATATATATATACTCAGTCTATATACATATACATGTTTTTAATATAATCCATATACATGTTTTCTGTGCAGCAACTTTGTTCGGCAAGGTTAGTGTTTTGGAATTAAAGAGTTGAGAGAGAGTTGTAACCATAATACAGTAGCTTTCTCGATTGTAGTGGCCCTCTTATCTTTGGGGAGATGAACAACATAAAAAATATGTAGTAGTAGTAATAGCAGCAGCAGCAGCAGCAGCAGCAGGAGTAGTAGTAGTAGTAGTAGTAGTAGTAGTAGTAGTAGTAGTAGTAGTAGTAGTAGTAGTAGTAGTAGTAGTAGTAGTAGTAGTAGTAGTAGTAATTCCAGTAGACCCTCATATTACAAATTGCATGCCCTGGCGCTACATTTTTGCCCTTATGTTACATTTTTGCCTTCAAATTAAGGCATGAAGGCAAAAGCAGCCCTTATGCAACACTAAATAGTAGCATAAGGGCACTCCCACTATAATTGACATATTTTTAAGATAATTGTTTAATCAAGTAAATTAAAAAATGATTCTGAATCGTGGTACGGTAGTTAATAAAGATTTCATGTTGTAATAATTTTTTATTATTGATAGTTATATTTATATTTAGTATATTTTGCATTATAAATATAAAGCTGAAAATGTTTATTAGAACTAATGTGTTTGTGTTATTATAAAATTATTAATAGTAAAACTGTACTGATAATATCAGTGCAATCATTTAGTTTAAATGATTCCATTGATAATATGGAAATTATATTCAATATGTTAAGTAAGTTTATATTCATAAAATTAGTTTATATATTGAATACTGATTTTCTCAATGTAATAGTAATATTTTATGGTACCTTTAAAATTTAAAGTTAACTTACAGGGGTGTACTCTCACAGTCGTCCGGTGGCATGGGACAACTCGTTTTCTCCAAGGGTGACTAAAATTTAAAAAAAAATGCCTGTCAGTAGCCTGGCAGGACGACTAGACAGTTTGTTACTTACAAAAGTGTGTTTATTAATAAACTATATTTTGATCTATAAAGACATTATTTTAAAAAAAATTTTAAAGTAGTATATACTTTCAATTAATACACTATGATGCATTATATAATTTTACTAAACTTATTAAAAAGTAGCCAACACACAATTTAATATTTTGAAGTGCAACTGTACTGTTTTTTTAAACATTGTTGAAAATTACATTTTCTTTTATTTCCAAATGCTATTGTATCATTTTTTTTAACCTTATAGTCGCATTTTGAATCACGTGAATGAGCAGTTGAATCATTAATAACACTGAATCTCCTTTGTTTTTCATTAGTAAAATAAGTGTTTTTTAACTTTGTCAAACAAAACTAACAAAATAAAAAACATTATTAAGATGCACGCTAATTTTTTAATTCGTTTTTTCTAAAAATAAAAAGTCTTAGTAAATGAAAAATATTCAAAACCTTAGAAACATAATGTTTTAAACATTCAATTCATTTAAATTTAATTGAAGATTGAGAGAGAATAATAGAATATTTTTCTATATATAAATTGTTTCTTTGAAGTTTTAGCTTTCAACATTTTTGCTTCACGTAATGAAACCTTTGTTAAGATTGATAAAAACAAATAATACGATACAGATATCGACTGCAAGAAAAATGACAATACATCCTTAATTTAATTAATAAACTAATAAATTCACTTTTAAATAAACCATTTCCCATAAGAATTTCCCATATTTTAGTAGTCAGACATTTAAATTTTTTTACTTCATTATATTCACCTGAGAAAAAAATACAAAAAAAAAAATTTAACACCGGACTACTAACTATCATAGCGGACGACCCAAATGAGAAATAAAAACTATTTTTCCCAGTCACCCACAGAGCACTGGGAAAAACTAGAGTACACCGCTGACTTAATATACTTTTTATATTAATTAATATTTTTTATAATTTATTTATACTTAAAGTAATTTATGATGCTATAAGTATCATAAAATATTTGTTATTATAAGTAAAAGTATCACTAAAAAACTCAATGAATTATATTTAAAACTTAAATATAGATTTGAATAACTTTTCTTTTAGTGACTTTATATTTTTAGTGACATATTTTGAGTTTGTTAAAACGCTTTTTAGTAATTAAGTTTAAGTAAATTAAATTATTAATTGCTTTTTATTTAAAAACTTACAAAATTTAAATTTATGGAGAAAAAAAATTTTGGCA